AGCAAGGGAAGACATCGGAGCTGAATCATTCTCACGAAGATCCGCCACCGCCGTCGAGTATGAAGTCACAATGTGGTGTGCCGAACGAGGAACGATTGTCCAAAGGTATTTCACGAGATTGCGAGCCAGGAGGAAGTACTGCTCACGGCCTTCCCCAATCAGAGAGGGAGCGTCCAGGAGGGGATGACGAAGCTTCTAAGCCTGTGAAAATATCCTGTATGCTGCGCGAATTGCGCCACCCGGTTCCACATCCGAGGAGGAAGAAAGCGGAGAAAGATAACCCGAGGCAACCACGACAACGCAACCAGGCGACTAGAACTACACACACGTTCAAGCGACCGTGGCCTTGGGTGCGACAGTCAGCACCGAAACGAAGATTGTTGAGGGAAGTATTGGAAGACGAGTATGGACGCACGATAGAACGGTTCCGGGACGACTTCTTCCGATATGAAAATCTCAGCATTTGACGGAGTAGATCGTCAAGCGACAAGAGATGGCGTATCCACTCAAAGAGCAGGCAGCCCCAATGACTGTGGGAGCCGAGCGGGAGGAAATAAGAGAAGATCGTGATGAGAGCGTGAAGCGCCGATTGAAGGAATACCAGCGGAAGAGAATAGACCGTACGACCAATTGGAATTAGAGTAGAGATGACCAATTGATGATGATCGCGTTTGAGTTCATTCGTGCAATGGCGAACGACCCTCTCCTGAAATATTATATCCGCGGAAAGATCGTCGTCCAGAGTGACGATGACTGGTTCTCAAATCCATTGCTCTTCGTCGAATTGGTTCTACTTGCCGCGTGTCTGGCCTGGTTGATGGCACGTGGGGCCAGATCATGTGAATCTAACATGTAGTGGTCGAGGCGCCGAATGGTGCAACTTGTGGAAAGCCGATCGTGCGATCCGCGGACTATATGCGGGTAGATGGAGTGACCGGTAAGAACCAAACTTCGGATCACAATGTTGTGAGAGGAGAGGCATTCGGTAGGAAGCAAAGTTTCTCGATCTCGGCGAGGCCGCGACGCGTTGTCATCAGAGACGAGGGTGCCCAGTAGAGGATTCCAATTCTGCATTGCGGGATTGAACAGCCCGGCCGCGGTACCCAACTGCATCTTCCCTGCATGTCTTGCAGTGACCCACTCCTGAAACCGCTGTCTTGGGTGAGTCCGAATTGGACACGGTCGATGGTGTGAATGGAGCCGCATGTGAAAACGCGACGAAAGGCCGTACATCATGCAAAAGGCTCAACGCTAGAGACGCTGGGACAAGGTATCGCTTGCGATGTAGGCTTATCCACCTGTTGTTGGGTTGGTGGTACGATTGCCGCTCAGGTCCAGCGACCGAAACGCTCATAGCACCAATAAGCTCGATCGCTGCAGTACCATCCCACGTGCAACGATGGGATTGGGTGAGAATCAAGCGGCAGTCAAACATCGATGTCAGTGGGGGTTTCAATGAAACCTCGGGTCGGTCATTGCAGCAACCCTAGACGGGGTTGCCTCCGATGACCTGCACCTCAAAGTGTCAGAATTTTGCTCCCTGATAACCGGTTAGGTGTTAGTGAGCAAGCTAATTCGCCAGTGTGCTGGTAAGTAGTTTGGTATCGGGACCAACCGACAGTCCAGAAGACGGGTCTCGCATGGCAGGCTAGCGGAGACAGTTGCTTGATGCATGCAACCCCATCTGACGGGCCCTGTACTAGTCGGTCCAGGCATGGGGTACGGAACCGGGTTCGGTTCGAGCGTGTTGCATTCCTCGGAGAAGACGAGAAGACTGATCAGGTAGGTCGGCGGCATACGCGTTGGATGTCATCGTGAGTGTTGATCAAGCGTCTAAAGGCAAGCCACAAGATCATAAGGATGTACCCAAGCTTTCCAAGAGAGTCTTGAGTGCGAAGAAGCTCCAATCCTTCAGATGTCAATCGGGGCGATGTTGGGAGAAGGCGTTCTGGCCGTGCCCCTTTTAGCGCCTTGGCGCAGCACGTGGGGTACATGATTGGACCGAACGCCCTCTCCTCGCGTTCCCTTCACCACACCAGATGCGCGGCAAGGATAACCATCAAGACGCGTCAAGCCTTGTGGCGGCCTGGGCTCGCAGAGGCGCATTTTCACGAGTGAGTCTGCTGCTTACAGCGGAAAGGCCGAAGGAAAGATTGCAAATCTGCGGGCGTGCCAGAATGGAATGATCTTACTGGTCCGTGGGTACCGTAGGTTTGGCATACAAGCATGATGCTCAGCACTCGGCGTAAGCTTGAGTGCAGGTATATAGCTTGGCCCTGCACCCTCTACCACTGATCTCCAGCTCCTACAGCCGTCTTTTCCGGACTGAAGCCTCGTCTAATCTCTTGACAAGTCTCGGCAAAGCTTCACAATGGCTCACAAGACAGCTGGCGGCAACGCCGCGTTCCACAACTTCAACAATGACTTCGCGGTATGGTAACACGGTCGACGTCTTGAGTAGCAGCCTTGCTGACTGTCCTTAGCATATTGAAGACCCTAATGAGCGACGCCGACTTGCGCTCGCTGAAATCGACAAGGCGCCCTTTGGCTGGTACCATGTGCGCGCCATCTTGGTGGCAGGTACCGGTTTCTTCACGGATTCGTACGACATCTTCTGCGTGTCTCTCTTGACGATCATGCTGGGTATCGTCTACAAGCACGACAACAAGGGTGTTCTTCTCACTCAACAAGACACAGCTATCAAGCTTGCAACATCAGCTGGCACTGTTCTTGGACAAGTCGGATTCGGTACACTGGCCGATATTGTTGGACGTAAGAAGATGTATGGTCTTGAGTTAATCCTCATCATCGTCGCCACACTCGCTCAGTCTCTTACTGGCCCCGGTCCCGGCACTTCGGTTGTCGGTCTGATCATCTTCTGGCGTGTATTGATGGGAATTGGTGAGTCTTTTGTCGAGTTATGAACTGAAACCTTGCTAACGGGTATCAGGTATCGGTGGTGACTACCCTCTATCGTCCATCATCACTTCCGAGTTTGCCACGACCAAGTGGCGCGGCGCCATGATGGGTGCCGTCTTCGCCATGCAAGGTTTTGGTCAGCTCGGTGGTGCTCTGGTCATGCTTTGCCTCGTTGCCGGTTTCAAGGACACGCTTTCAGGCGCCAAGGGCTACGCAGACTGTGATGGTCAGTGCACTATCGCAGTTGATAAGATGTGGCGTGCCCTTATCGGAATTGGCATCGTCCCAGCCTGCATCGCGCTCTACTACCGTCTTACCATTCCCGAGACTCCTCGCTACACGTTTGATGTCGCCCGTGACGTCGAGAAGGCCAACGCAGACACCAACCAGTACCTCTCTGGTAAGCACGGCAACGGCGACCCTGATGCCATCGCCCAGGTTGCCCAGACTCAGGCCACTGCTCAACTTGAAGTTCCCAAGGCTTCTTTCGGCGACTTCTTTAGGTTCTACGGAAAGCTCCGCAACGGCAAGATTCTTTTCGGTACCGCCATGTCATGGCTCCTTCTCGATGTCGCATTCTACGGACTTGGCCTAAATTCCTCGACTGTTCTCCAAGCTATCGGCTACGCCAACGGTGACAATCTATATCTCAATCTACACAACCTTGCTGCCGGTAACGCTATCTTGGTGTGCGCTGGAGCTATTCCCGGATACTGGCTTGCGGTAGCGACTATCGATACTGTTGGACGCAAAACACTCCAACTCGCTGGTTTCACCATTCTCACCATCCTCTTCATTGTCTGGGTATGTATATGTTCCAACTTTATGCATCGAATACACACGCTAACTGCCACCTAGGGATTTGCCTACAGTCACCTCAGCCACCACGCCATGTTGGCCATCTACGTCCTCATCCAGCTCTTCTTCAACTGGGGTCCCAACACAACCACTTTCATCGTGCCTGGAGAGTGCTTCCCAACTCGCTACCGTTCCACGTCTCACGGAATCTCTGCTGGCTCAGGAAAGATCGGCTCCATCATCGCTCAGGGAGCTATCTCTCCTCTTCGAACTCGGGGCGCTACAGCGACGAACAAGAACCCATGGTTGAACCACGTCATGCAAATCTTCTCGGCTTTCATGTTCTGTGGTATCTTCACTACCCTGTTAATCCCGGAGACCAAGCGCAGGACGCTCGAGGACCTTGCGCAAGACTGGGATATGGGTGATGAGTCCATTACTGGTACGGAGTACGCGCGCAAGGCGGAGAACCGCAGCAGCGACGAGGCTGGTACCACTGAGCTCAAGGCTTAGTTTGCGCTGTTGTTTCGCGCGTCAGTCTTTCTTCTATCTCCAGGCTCACGCCTTCATACCCGTATTCATGTAGCATCGATACCTAGACTGTAATGCATTCACTCACATTTCATCAATCTATTTGTGGAAAGAACTATCTTACACTGACCCTTTGAGAACGTTACAGTAATGCTGACATATTGGCCACTAGCATAGAGCTACAGAGTTCCACGCATCTCATCCGAGCTACCTTCAGATGGTTCAGCGAGAGCGATAAGAAGTGTTCTGACGTTAAGAATTGCTTGGGCTGAGCTATTTGCGGTTTAGCCTAGGCCAGTTGCAGCATACCCCGGCTTGGTGCCATGCAAACGCAGGAACACAAAGAGATCTCCGCTGGTACACCACGTCGTACTGACTGTACTGGCCTGACGTCTGTATGACCTCTATAGCACTGTGCATCACGTTTATGGAGGATCCTACGACGCCACGATCGTAGTGATAGCTGAAGATGTTACTCGGGTAGTACATGCCGGACTAGCTGAACATCACCGTTGCCGGACTTCCGAGACGTCTCGAGTAAGTGACCAAATCTACTTACGAGCATAAGCCAGCTCAGAGTATGTCTGATATTAAGTCGGGTCGTCTGCTCCTCTATGGCTATGGAACTGCAAGCTCAGAACATCAAGCAATCATCAAGAGCAGAAAACCGGTCACCAAATCCTCGTTTGTCTCATCTCCAATTCCACGCCCCAATTTTCTCACCACCAATCCATACCCAAATTAGACACGCTATGTCTCGCTTCCCGGCCGCCAAACCAGCTCTGCTCTTTGCTCTCATCAGCGTGACCACCGCGAGTTTGACCGGAGTGATACTGAATCCACTCATCAGCGGGACGGAAGGAGCATTGAAGTGGCAGCCAGTCCTTGACTGGGACAAGGACGTATGCTATCAGACTTCGGCCATCGACTCCAATGGTAACACCAACCCTGGTTTGGATGCAAAGTTCTCAGTGGGGGAATGTCGCGATCCGTCGCGCCAGTGGAACTGCAACACGTATGCACGTGAGCGATGCAACCACGGATGGTGCGTCTACATGTACGCCTATTACAGCGAGATGGACAGGGCTGTAGCCGACACTACTGGGCATCGGCACGATTGGGAGCATGCCATGGTCTGGACGCGTGGCGGGGCTGCATGGTCCGTTATGTGGTCTGCTCACGTTAATTGTACGACATAAATGCGTCCCCATTCGTCTATGCTTATAAATAACTTCTCAATCTAGATGACGACGCGGACCCAAGGAATGTTCGCTGGGAGGCCACCACCCATCCAAAGTTGGTTGCGCACCGCGGCGGGGCGAATACAGCATCACTACGCCTCGCGAAGGCGGCGGATGACAACATTGAGAACGACTTGGGGATCTGGCAGGCATGCCATCTTCAACAGATCGGTGTCATGGACAACCATCTCGCCCAAAAGCTCTTGAACACGAACTGGGGAGATGCCCACATGGACCTGCCTGATGGCCGCTTCCAGGAACAGTTGGAGAAACACATGCCGAAGCAAGCTAGACAAGACGGCTTCACGGCGCGTGACTAAGAAAGAGCATACTACTGTCATTGTACCCAACGAGATCACGGCTTTACCATAAATTGTCTTTACCGGGTTTTCAAATCCCAGCAATTTTGCTTAGTATCTTTAGCCTTACATAATTTGCTTTTGCCTTAGCGCATGTTCATGCGTAGAAACGACCTCTGATAGGCTTCTTAACGTCATCCAATGCCGTACCAAAACTTAGATGCTCCACTGGCCGGCGTGATTCTGGACCACTTCGCCGGTCTACCTGAGCATCATACCAATCCTGAGGCATCTTCACCACGCCCCATGAGAGAAGACTCCTCGAAACGGCGAGCAAACCACTGTGCCCTTCTTCTTCGGCCATGGATACGGGCTCATAGCCTTCTCCTTTCCCATCCGTGTGCTCGACGATTGGGGCCTTGGCTAATGGCGAGACATGACAAGCAGCCGCTATGGCACGCGAGTCTGATCCAATGGGTGGCATGTGCCCGGGCAGTCGCAACAAGCCCAGAAGCCAGGGAATCTGGACGGCGGCGGTGGCCAGGGCCAGCAGTCCAGCTAAGTATGTTGGAGATAAACTCCATTGGATATAAAAATCATCTGGTAGAGAGCTATAGTCCTTCCAGTTATCGTGACCGTTGATCGTATCGGCTAATGTGTAGTATCAGTGTCTGCATGTTGTATACATTTCTTGCGTTTTTGTCTTAGTACATACTATCGGTGTATAGAGCTACAGGCGAGCTCTCTGAAAGGAGGAAGTGCAGGACCGCACTAAGAATGATTAGAAGGATACTGTATTTATACGGGAGCTGGAGTCTGTAGGTTTCAACCTGCTGGCCTCTTATTGAAGCAGTCGTTAGCATGCTGTTCATCATTCTCTTTAACATTGTAGATGGCCCGTTGTATACTTATGAGTGTCAGGAAAGGTTGGGAAGATACCTAGGCTGAGAGACCCGAAGAGGTCGGAATGACGTGGAGAGCAGAGCCCATTCCTGGCTGAGTTGCAGGCGAGTCAAGATGGCGTTGTACGCGAAATACCAGACTGAGAGCAAAAGCTGTGGAATGTTGGCTAAAAGCACTGTCGTGATGAAGGGGACAGAGGAATTCGGTGCTCGGATCGTAGGATTACTGCTAGTAAAGCGATGATAATATGGACCGTCAAGCCTATAATATGGATCAGGGTAATGCGTCCAATAGCCTGAAGTGGGAACTCACAGGAGGCGACCTTTTCTGTTCATTAGCATCTGAGCTTCTTTCCCTAGAACTCCAGCTGCAGCCACGATGAAGGCAATAAAAAAGGCGTAGGTACATGTCCATGTCCTGCGTGAAATGGAAGATGCCCGTCTTGAGGATGTATACCTCCACAGTATCGGGTCACCATCACTAGCCCCGTGCGTCGACTGTTTCACCAGCATGTCCAGTCTGCCAGCGGTAAATGGGTCGGGATTCGAGATGAATGAAGACAATGCGTCCCCAGGCGTGACCAGGGGTTCCTGAGAACCTAGAACCAAGACGGTTATCACGCAGATGACCACCTTGACCAAACAAGCTAGCGTAACGGCCAAGAGAAGAGGGTTCGATATGCCCACTTCACAGGCGGCACGGGATTTTGACTGCAGTATGGCACTGTTGAAGAGCAGATGCAGAGGCAGCGACGTGAACAACAAGGTGACCCAAGCCACTCTTTTGAAAGGAGACAAACATAATGCGTTCCGCCATGATAGCACTCCGATGTCGACTGACATTCCCTGCGCGTGCGACATGTCCACTTCTGCACGAGTTGGCGAGCTGAGTACCTGCGAGAAGAAACTGGACGACGCCAGAACTGCACTCGATATGCCGTTGACGAGTAGGTGGAGGATCGTGTTGATAACATCCGATGTCGAGATACCGCGTTTTAATACATCGCAGCGCGATCTGTGGAACAGGAAGGAGTTGCGCACCACGGCCGCTCGGTTTGTCTCAGGCCCACCGTAATTCGGGTTGTAAATTCTTGAGAGGTCTGTTTTGAGCATCGAAGCCACGGTGAAGCCGCATAGTAAAAGCGTTAGAAGGGTCATCGCGCCGATGTTCAGAATGGCTAATCTCCTCCATCCGGTTAGCGTGGGGAGCAGCTTCGGGAAGCAACGGTTTAGCCTGCCCATGATTGTACAAACAATGAGAGTGTGAAGACTGAAAGAATGAAGGCAGGAAGCTGGGGACCATCACATCGTTATGTTTGAAACATCTACGTAGCCACTGCCTTAGCTGCGCCAGCTTGTGAGATGGTGGAGGCTATGTAAAATAAGCATGGGGGCCAAATCAACGCGCAAAGCTGAAGCGGACGCGGGGCGACTGCCCATCATCTACAGATCGCCGTATTTTGAAGAGGCTCACCCACGGTTATGGAAGGACAGCTATTCAAAGAGTCAGGTGGCTGTTCATTATCGTCGCTATAGCCAAGCGATGATAGCGTCAAGTCTGTTCTAATGCTTCGCGATTGCGCGCGCTGTGTAGCTGCGTGCATAGCTCACAGTACCTCTTCTGTGAGGGACTCTGGGGCGACTACGCCACGAAGATGATCGCTAGGTACCACTATTGCGTCTAATCCAGCCCGTACTGACCTTAATGGTTGCGGATATATATAGGCATCCTGTTGCCCACCGATTGTGGAAAGAGAATCCAACATCCTCTTCCAAGGTTGTTTCTATGCTAGCGCAGCAATGACTAGGGAGTCGCCATCGTCCTCGCGGTGAACGCGTGGTGCAATACCCGCCCTCATCTCACTCTTTCGCTATCTCGTTGCAAGTCGGTAGGCTGCCACTCTCCCGAGATGGCGCGCCGAGTCCCTCAATCATTTAACCCATCCAATCGCGAGCAGGCTGCGAGGGCCCTGCACTCATACTCATCCATATATATATATCGTTGCTTGCAACACCAAATAGATGAATTCCAACTACGCTACTTTCCCGAGCCTGAGTTGGAATGGAGATTGGCACTGTTCAACAAGACTGGAACGGTACCTAGGTAGTCGTGACACACTTGTGCGTGCGGCGGCCGTGGTCGCGCAAGGCCCCGTTATTCAACCACGCCGGAAGGGAGCCTTGGAGGTATCAACGACGATACCTAGGTACATTGACACAGAATGCCTGCCCTTGCGATCGTTAGTGTGGTGCCAGGCTTCGGGTATCAAGATTCTCCGCTCAGCCTCGCCTAGCGCATAGCCGCCCAATCATCACACAGGGAACCCGAACGCTCCAATCACGGCGCAGATGGCCCGAGCACGAACTCCGCCTTGCGCATTGGCCGCTCTTGAAGTCCCGTCCGGCTGCACTTCGCACTGAAACGCGAACACACATTTGATCGGCTGTGTCTCTTATCATGGTACGACACGAGGTAATCCAAAACCACGTAGCTAACAACATAGCTAAGGAGAACTCGGGATTCAGCAGCTGGTTTCACGAGCATGGAGAGCAACAAGCAAAAGCGTGTGTTACGCTGTCCGCAGGCGAACGCGTCGGCTACTCCTACTGCATCTATTCCAGCCCGTTCTGACCTCAATATTTGAGTATGCAGGCTATCCTTTCGCGTTGGCCAGTCCGTGCATCTCTCTGTCGTCTGCGCGAGATGGCTAGCGGAGACATCGGTGGACCCGAGTAGGAGAGGGACCGCCGGGCATCTTTGATTCGCATAAGATGCGCGACCAAACGGTCGCTGTCTACGCACAGGCACATTAGCTTACCCGCACTTGCGTTGGCACAGCCCCTTCACTCTGGGCTAATGCTTGAATCACTAGGCATGTGCAAACTAGGTCTACGGCAATTTGGCAGTTAACGACCCCATACACCCAGGCCTAACTTGAACACCTTCTGTATACCTCAACAACTCGAGTTTCTTCCATCCAGGCCTTCGCTGCATGCCTTCTTGAATCTTTCTTCGCTCCCTCCTGATCGCAACCATGGCTTTGCTATTTCGCCAAATTTGGGCGCTCATGCGCAAAAATCTCCTGCTCGTCTGCTTGAGACGACCAATCACTACTTTCATCCGTGCACTCGCTATCCCGCTTGTTGTCATTCTTGTTATCGCTTTCAGCAAGACGTGGTTTTCTTCTGGGGGGCATTGGGGTGTGTCTTCGGCTCGCCAGGTTAGTGGCCTCCAAAGCTTTGAGGCGCCAATACGAAATCGAACCAATACTAACACTCGAATAGCTACCCTCCCTTGAGGAAGGACTACGAGCCAGTCCTGGCCACGGCATTGTAGGCTTCGTCGACAACGCTATGAAAGGAGGAGAAGTCTCAGCTGTCATCGATACACTCTCACGACGGATCAGCGCTGCTGGGAAAACGCCAGAGCTATACGACGATACCAGAAGCCTTGCTGTAGTTTGCCGAACCGACAACGAAGGCAACTCACCATGCTACAGCGCCATTGTATTCTTCTCCAGTCCAACCGAGGGAACCAACGAGTCGTCAGCCGGATACTGGAACTACACAATCCAAGGGTTGACCACGCCGTATGGTCCCATGGACATTACGAGCACCAGCAACGCCATCGAAGTAGCCACATCGCCTTTGCAGCGCGCCCTTGAGCTTGAGATTATCGAACGGTCACAATCAGACAACACATCGCAGATTCCTTCCGAACTGAATGTCATCGCGTTCACTCGTCAGGACCAGGGAGCACTAGAAGCCGATCGGACTGCATCGTACCTAAACCTTGTTACATGGGCCTTTCCACCCATCTTCACTCTTACACTCATTGGTGTGGTCGATCATCTAACTTCATTTGTTGCTCGCGAGCGCGAAATTGGTACGTGACAGCATTTATTCCCAGAACACGGACTGACGTTAGCCAGGAATGTCTAGTTTGATCGACACCATGATAATGGGAGGGTCCAAGTTCCGGGGCATAGCCGTTCGACAAATCGCGGCTTACGCATCGTTCGCGCTGGTCTACTTTCCCGGCTGGCTGGCAGTGGCCATCGTCATCTCCGCCGCCATCTTGCCCGTCACTTCTAACTATCTACCCGTGGGATTCGTTCTACTTTATGGGCTCGCAGTGACTGGATTCTCTCTCTTCGGGGCCTCTTTCTTCAAGAAAGCCCAGTTGAGTGGCCCCATCATGGTGGTCGTCACACTAGTCGCCGCCATCCTTCCAGCAGTGCTTTTCAACCAGACGAGTACTGTTTGCGCCATACTGAGCGTCTTGTTCCCTTCAGCAAACTTGACGTACTTCATTACTGGCATGGCAACATTCGAAGCAGCCGGCAAACCGGTCAGCATGATGCATCGGGCCGATGAGGCGAGCGAGTCCGAACATTGGCGTTTTCCGCTGTACATCCACTGGCTCATATTGGTCTTACACGTATTCGTGTTTCCTATCCTAGCTTTACTGGTAGAGCATCTTCTATTCTCAACAGCATCTCCACACAGACGTTTCGAACGTCCAGCAAGCGCAGGCGATCCGACCGTCAGGGTCTCAGACTTCTGCAAAACATACAAGCCTGGCTTCTTTGCTCGACTGTTTCGACGTCGTAAGAATGTCGATGCGGTCAAAGGTGTCGATTTCAACGCATATCCAGGACAAATCTTTTGCTTGCTTGGACCTAATGGAAGTGGCAAGTCGACGACCTTGAACTGCATCACGGGCGAACAGAGGGTCACGTCTGGAAACATCATTATCGATCCAACAGGCGGACTGGGTTACGCTCCACAGAGCAATGTCATCTGGCCTGAATTGACGGTTCAAGAACATATCCGCATCTTCAGCGACCTGAAATGCCTATCAGCAGCGAACCACGAGGTCGTCAACGATCTCGCTAAAGGTGTCGATCTTCTCAAGAAGCTTTCAGCTAGAGCTAAGACACTCTCTGGTGGCCAGAAGCGGAAGCTCCAGATGGCAATGATGTTCGCGGGTGGAAGTGCAGTCTGCTGTGTGGATGAAGTCTCCACAGGCCTCGATCCAATTTCCCGGCGAAGAATCTGGGAGATCTTACTCACTGAGCGGCGAAATCGCACCATCATCATGACGACTCACTTCCTCGACGAGGTCGATTACCTTGCCGATGATATTGCTATCATGTATCAAGGTACTCTTCGAGCTGCAGGTACTTCGGCGTCCTTGAAACACGGCTTTGGTGATGGCTATACTGTCAAACTACCTTACAAGACAGAGGTCCATATCAGCATCTCTGGGCAACTACGAACGGAACAATCGCGGCACATGACCACATACCATGTCGCCACAGCCGCTCAGGCTGCAGAGGTTGCGGCCGAACTTGACAATTACAATCTCGGTGGCTACCAGCTTTCCGGACCCACCATGGAGGAGCTCTTCATCAAAATCACCGGTGATGCGATCCAACCTTTGGAGGAGAAGACCGAAGAAGATGATACTGTGAAATTGAAGACTGAGAACATCATTGTTGACGCGACCGAATTGGACTATGAACTGTCCGAAGGACAGCCCGTTTCTCTTGTCAAGCAGTGGTGGATTCTGTTGCTCAAGAGAGTGAAGATCCTCAAACGTCGATGGCTACCTTACTTTGTCGCCGTTGCCTTCGCTCTTGTTGGTGCAGGGATTGCGCCTCTACTGATCAAGAAGTTCGATGCTCCGCTAGGGTGCCCAGTGCAAGCAGACCTCGTTGACGATAACGCATATCGAAACGACATTGGTGTTTTCTATGCAGAGAGTAATGCCTATCATTCGGGCACGGACGAGCTTCGAAAGTCATACGTTGCTGGGCCTTCCGATCGACTCAACTCAACGAGGGTTGGTTTGATGGCAGACGTTTACTCCACCAGCCACACTTTGAGTTACTCTGACACCTATCAATCCGGGTACACGAATTCTTCACAGCTTGAGAACCAGCTATTAATCGTCGATACGTACGAAGAATTCGCGCGAGCAGTTCAGAACGACTGGAAAGAACTAGTTGCCCATCCCAGATACATCTCCGATGGTGGCTTTCCCACCACAGAACTCAGAGGCGGAATCTGGATGGGCGATAGCTCAACCAACCCCACTATCATGGGCGACATCAGCGGAGGCGCCGCCATGCAACAGATGCTGAACTTCTACAACGTCATGGCTGGTGGTGTTGGTATCTCGAGTTCTTACAACGAGTTCGCCAGTACTGTCATTCCAAGTCTCATGGCTTCTGATGCTACGATGTTCATCATTTATTATGGACTGATCATGGCCTGGTACGTTTTAACCAGTCGCGCAAGTAGCACAACAAAGCTGACATATACAATAGCTATCCAGTGTTCTTCGTCTTATACCCGACGGATGAGCGCCTGTCAAATGTCCGCTCGATGCAATACTCCAACGGGATCCGTCCAGTGCCACTTTGGCTTTCCCATCTGGCTTTCGATGGTACCTTCGTCGTCACAATCAGTGCTGTTGCTACAGGTCTTCTTTCCATGTCGACCCCAGTCTGGCATGGACTCGGCCTGGTCTTCGTCATCTTCCTTCTGTATGGCATTGCGTGCGCGCCACTCAGCTACATCTTCTCCATGTTTACAAAGAAGCCAGTCACGGCTTGGTTCTTGATGGCCTTGATGCAGGTCGTTGTCTATTTTGCCTACTTCGCTGGCGTAATGGAGATCCAGGCAACTACACCATACGCAAAGCTGGAATCCACGATGAACGCCCTGTACTTTGGTCTCGCCATCGTATCGCCAGTAGTCAGCTTGGAACGGACGCTGTTCATCGGTCTTCAGCAGCTTGGGTTGAAGTGCAACGGCCACAGCGACGGATCCCTCTATCTGTACGGGGGGCCCATCTTGTTCTTGGTTGTGCAGATCGCTCTCTTGTTTGCGCTTCTCATTTGGTGGGATAGTGGCTTCGCTTTGCCTTCGTTGCGCCGCGAGAATCTGGTCAGCGATACAGAGGCGACAGACATGTACACGGCTGATCTTCTTACCGAACGAAGACGGCTGGCATCACCTGGCATTGACCTCCGGGTTGAGTCTGTGACTAGGTCTTTCGGCAAGAACCTCGCAGTCGACGATGTCACGTTCGGCGTCAAGACATCGGAGATCTTTGCTCTACTTGGACCCAACGGTGCTGGCAAATCGACCATCATCTCGATGATTCGTGGCGACATCAAACCCTCAACACCAGGATCCGTAATCGACATCGCCGGCAACCCAATCCTGACTAGTCCCCTTGCAGCGCGCTCTAGTCTTGGTGTGTGCCCGCAGTTTGACTCTGCCGACGTCCTCACTGTCCGCGAGACGCTGCGCTTCTTTGCCAAGATAAGAGGAGTCAAGGACGTCGAATATAACGTGTCGACCGTGATTGCAGCCTGCGGTCTCAGTGACTGGACTGACCAGTTGGCGCAGAAGCTCTCCGGTGGCACCAAGCGCAAACTATCTCTGGCTGTCGCACTAGTCGGAAACCCGCGCGTCCTGGTCCTCGACGAACCTTCTTCAGCGCTCGACGCAAATGCAAAGCGCGTCATGTGGCGCTGCCTGCAAACCATTGCAAAGCGACGCGCTGTTGTACTCACGACGCACTCGATGGAGGAGGCCGACGCTCTGGCCGACCGCATCGGCATCGTCTCGTCGCGCATGCTCGCTCTTGGCGACCGCGAAGACCTGAAGCAGCGTGCAGGCAGCGAATACCACATTCATCTCGTGTCGCGCTCAGCACCTTGCACCACACCGCAGGAACTGCAGAAGATGAAGGAATGGATTGCTGCCACCTTTCCCTTGGCGAACGTCAGTCGCGAGACGCAGGGCGGTCAGGTCAGATTTGAGATTCCGGCTGATGGTAATGAGTTTGCGGGCTTGATCAGGACGTTGGAAGCGGCGAAGGACGAGCTGAATGTGGAGTTTTATAGCGTGGGTAAGGCAACTCTGGATGAGGTCTTTGAGAAGATTGTTAAGCGGTACGGGGATGTAGCAGAAACTTAGTTAGATAGCTAGAATAATAATAGGAGCAGGTCGTCATCGAACTTCCTATATGCGCAGTGTCCATGACCAACGCGACACTCTCAGCCATCTCGTCAGCGCCAGAAACGCTGTAGCTAATAACATCCCTCCACCGCCCACAAACCACACGCCCCAAAATTCCCTCCGCACATCATCAACCGCCCCACCTGAAACACCAACAGTTGCATCTCTCTTCGCTGCCCCCGCAACCGGACTCCCGACTAACCCACCAAACGCCGCGATCGAATAGGCCATTCCCATGCGCGCCCCCAGCTCCCCGACGTCGCTCGTTAACGCCGCAATAATAGGCGCGGGAAGACTGACCATCCCGCCGGAAATGAACCCATAAACCACCGAAATAGCGATAAGACTAGACTTTTCAACGGCGAGTGGGAAGAGAAAGATGACCAAGGATGAGAGAAGACAGCAGGGCAGCATGATGTTCACGCCACCGAAGCGGTCGGCGAGGTAGTTAGGCGCTAGGCGACCAAGAAGGGAGGAAGCGTTCATGATGCTGAGTAGGGAGAAGGCAGACTCGGTATCGAGAGAGAGCTTGAGCGCATAGTCTTGGATGTAGAAGAAGGGGATGTAGGCGGTGGCCATCATGAGTGTAAATGCTGAGTGTGGTTAGCTCTTTTCGCTTTCAATGGATTTCGCAATCATGAGTGGATTAATGAGGGAAACTGAGGTGACGCACCAAGGACAAATGCAGTGTAGCTTCTATCCTTGAGCATTCGAATGTTCAATATCGACCCTTTCCTTGGCGCTCGAGGTCTCAGCCGCATAACCGCGAAGCACACAGCCATGCATCCGAGGATCAGGAATGCGAGGGCACGCACAGCCCAAGGAAAGCCTATCGTGACAAAGAGGCGGCGCATCATGAGTGGATAGAGTATACCAGCTGAGCCGGGGTGTATCAAGTTAGAATATGTCCTTGAAGCAGAAATAGCGACAGCGGCTTACCAAGACTACTTCCCGTCGCAGCAATACCCGTTGCAATCATCTTTTTCCTTTTCCAGTACAACGGAATAACCGCAACACTCGTCAAGCCAAGCAAACCACTGCCTAGACCTACACAGACGCCTTGCGCCAGGAAGATCTGCCAATACTGTGAGCACTGTGCTGTCGCAAAGAGGCCTCCTACTTCGAAGAGAGTCCCGAGTGCGATGAGAAGCCGAAGGTGTCCGCGATCGAGCATTATCCCAGCGGGTATGCCAACCACCATGGTGAGAAAGAGCTGGATGGATCCAATCCAGGATATTGCTGAAGCGCTGTATGTTGGGAGTAGGAAGTTGACGTAGTATGTTTGGAATACTCCGTAGGAGTTTGTTAAGCCCCTGGCGGTGTTTGAGATAAGTTCTTGTGGAAAGGAGGGTTGGGATATGGTTGAGACTTACCAGGTGTTCCAGAAGAGAATCCAGCTTCCAAATACCTGGAGCCAGGCTACTACGCCGCCATCCATACGGGGTTCGTGAGCACATTGTTGCTGGGGATGGACGTTTTCGTTGTTCGTCGACGCGGTGCCTGGTCCAGTACCCAGGTCTTGGGTACGTGTATTAGGGTGCCTTTCGGCATCGTGACGTATTTCGTTGCCCTTATTTATGGTCGACATATGATGGAAGCAGACTTCTGCGAAAACACAGCTTCGCACGAGAATCTATTGAAGCGCACGTAGAAAAGAAGCTTCACGACTCATACCATCGAACAAAGGTCGACTACTTGTGCTGTATATCAGATCACAAACGGAAGACGACTACGTGTCACTGTCACGCCATGTGGCTTGAAATTGACGCCACCATGCTACCTGAACAGCGCTGTATGCTTAGAGTTAATGGTTAGATTAAATGCCGCATTCATGGACCGGATGTTGCACTCTTTTAAGTAGCTTAGAAGATGTCAAACAGAAGCATGTGGGGGTAAGGGTTACATCAGGGCCGGGCATATCTGCTGTCATCCTGCACTTCGAATGAGACGATGAAATAGGTAACTTTCCGTGCGTTCCGATGTTCCACACCACGCGGCGCCTTACTGTACCTACTCCTTCCCACGGAGTCGATTCTCGTTGAGCCTCAAAGGCCTTTGTGTAACGTTTCAGTGGGAGAGGCAGCCAAGGTAGTGAGTGAGAAGGATAGGTAGAGCGGAAAAAGCAGCAGCTCAAACAACCCGAATTGGAGACCAAGCCAACAAAAGAGCGCCTCATATCACCCAGAATAGAAAGCGCAAAGCTTCAGCAGGACCTCCGTCACATACTAAGCACTAGGATCGTGGTGGTCGATCTATAGCTGTCGTTCGTGGCTCTACGGCCTGGATTTTGCAGTAGTAAGTTTGGTGTTGGTCGTTGGTTACACGACGTCGGCCATTACGCGCACAGGCACGTTACGATTCGCTGGCCGAATGTCCCGCAGCGGAAGAAATCGTTTCTGGAAAATGACACATAGATGGAAAACGCCCGAACAGACTTCCTAAACCGGAGTCGGGGCCGCTCTTTTGCTAAGCAAGTGCATTGCGCGATGCTGAACGTAAGCCCTCTTGTTACGGGTCGTACGATCATAGGCATCAATGAGAGTGGCCTTATTGCTGATGATATCCAGACTTACTCCGCGGTTAGGCGTCTACCATGTGGAGTTATCCTGATCATGGTTTGTGGGTTGTGAGTCCCGCGTCCGTGAGAGGAGTGACAAGTCAGAATTGCGTGCTGAGGGCAAAGCAACCTTGGAATGTAACTCAACAAGTATATAACGTATCTAAAATGGAGCGTAATTGAGAGGTCGACTTACCGTCTTCATTGTTCCGCCTCTATCCAGTCAATATGAGATCGATTGCGACTTGGTCCCGTCCTGTAGGACACTACCAGTTCTTCGTGCGGGGTGTCAAACCCAGAGTGCTTTTGTCTGCTCGGTCATTTGCATCGGGTGCGTGGACCCCTCCCAATTCTGTCCAGGATTTGATTGAAGTTGGTGCTAAACCATGAGTAGCAGCTGTAGCGGTGGCCCAGCCCGAGGCGGCTACAACGGAGGCGCCTCAGCATTTCCCGTATGAAGCTTTCTTCAAATTCAATATCGATCAGAAGCATCGAGATGGCTCATATCGCCAATTCCGCAACATCAACCGTCTGGCCCAAGAGTTTCCCTTTGCACACTCCGACGTTGAAGAGCAGCGTGTGGACGTTTGGTGCACGAACGACTATGTAAGTAACCGGCCCCACAACAGGAGAGTACCTATTGACGATAACGACGGACAGCTTGGGATGGGTAGTCATCCCAGTGTCTTACATGCGATGCGCACCGTACTTGACAAATACGGCGCTTGTTCCGGCGGTTCAAGAAACATATCCGGGCACAACCAATGGGCTGAGGCTTTAGAGACGTCGCTCGCAAAGCTGCATCGAAAAGAAGCAGCGCTTTCCTTCACATCCGGATATGTTGCGAATGAGTCCGCACTGGCAGTATTGGGTGCACATCTCCCCGGCTGTGTCTTCCTTTCTGATGAATCGAATCACTCATCCTTGATCGAAGGCATCAAGATGTCTAGGGCTGCCAAGCTAGTCTGGCGACACAACGATGTTGGAGACCTGGAGAGGAAGCTTGCGTCCATACCCTTGGAAACGCCGAAGGTTGTCGTGTTCGAGTCCGTATATTCCATGTGTGGTAAGCAAATGAATCGAGTAGTAGCCATCGTCTACATCTTCAACATTCTAATTTTGACCAGGTACTGTTGCTCCCATACGTGAGATTGTTGATCTGTCCGAGAAATACGGAGCCATTACTTTCCTGGACGAAGTCCATGCAGTCGGCCTCTACGGGCCGCATGGGGCGGGCGTGGCCGAACATCTCGATTACGATATCCACCAAGGAGTTCATGGAAATGGACAGAACACGCTTATGGATCGAATTACCCTGGTCAGCGGAGCGCTTGGTAAAGCGTTCGGCACCATGGGTGGCTATGTCGCCGGGTCCGCATGTCTCGTCGACATGATTCGCTCGCAAGCCCGGAGCTTCATATTCACAACAGCGCAACCACCAGCCGTTATGGCAGGGGCGAGAGCCGCAGTCGAACATCTCTACTCGTATGACGACTCACGCAAGCAGCTTCAGCGCAACGCTCGTAGTGTCAAGACGGCGCTACGCGAGCACGGTCTCCCGGTCTTGCCGAATCAATCGCATATAGTGCCTCTGCTGATTGGAGACTCGATAGTCTGTAAGAAAGTTGCAGATATTCTGTTTGACGAGTACAAAATATACGTACAGCCGATCAACGCCCCAAGCGTGCCCAGAGGACAGGAAAGGTTGAGAATAGCACCAACGCCAGCCCATACGTCCAAGCAGCAGGATCACCTGGTGAGTGCATTGGTGGAGATCTGGGACAGGTTGAAGCTGCCGCGCCTGAAAGACTGGCAGCGAGAAGGAGTATCACCGCTCTCGAAGGTGTTGAGGGAGGATGGAATGGATCAGATTTGGACACCAACTCAGCTTGGCTTAGAAACGTGGAAAAAGCGTAGTCCAGAGTGCTCGCAGCTGTGTGCGGTTGGAGGGGAAGACACGAGGCTTGGGTGGCATTGATGATGGCGAAGAGGTCTGTGTTCTTCTGAGCAGTAGCTATCCCAATAGCGCAAATGACATCAGCACTACCGCCCAGTCCGATCAAAATTCAGTCAGCACAAGGAAGCTGGTCAAGTTACTTTTGCATTCTATCATCAATGCGCAAAACGATTTAAGTGTTGTTTCCTCTGCCGATTTCGCACGCGCGACCCTGATGTTCGTCCCGCACCACGGTGTGCCAACCACGCATCGAGAAAGCTGCAACAATGACAGTATTAGGGTACAAATTGCCTAATCCTCCACATACGACCATAGGATCATGAAAATTAGGCTTCCCGTCCGCTCAGCCATATACAAGCATGATACCGGCGGATTAGTAGTTAGGTGGGTGACCACTAGCGAATCCCCGCTGTTGTATGTTTTTGACCTTCTTTTTGCCCACGCATAATCCATGCTCGCCGACTCCCTCGTGCGGAGCCCATGCAAATTGCGCAAGAAGATGGCGCGCTTCACTGTTGTGAACCTTTTTTTTGCTTACAGTCCAGAGATGTATATACCTGCGACTTCCTGGCGTTGATCGCTTGCGCAATCAAAGGACCGAATAGTAAAGCCAAGGAGTAGACGTGCGCGTAACAAATGCCACGGCAGCTATGCCGATACACTAAGCTATTGCAGCAAAAGAGATTCGACATATTAGAGCTTGTTTACACGAACAGGTGCGGTTCGCCCGCCTTGAACCGCCAGTTCGAAAGGTAATCCTCATAGATCCCCAGCATCTCCGGCTTCCAATCGAGAGTCTTGTAAGCGCGAATAGCCTTGGACCGCGCACTGGAGCCGTAACCAATCTTGCTAATCGGGTCAATCTTCATCGCCTCCTCTGCGCTGAGGTAGTCCATATCCGGCGTATCCAGCAGCCCTTTCTCGAACGCCGCTTTGCTAACAGCGTGCGCGAATTCGCCCCAGACCATCTCACCGCTTTCCACAAAGTAGTACGACTCGACACCTCCCCATGTGGCGGCGCCACCGTCCTGTGCGGCTGCTTCCGTAGCCTTGACGAAGAAGTTCGCTAGATCGGTAATGTGTAACGTGTTGACGATTGCCTTGCCGTCACCGACCGCGAAGCCCTTTCCGCGATCTAGGGTGGAGTTTACGTATTGCCGTGCTGCGCTGCGCTCCTGCGTGTCCTGGGCGTGGCTCATGCCGTATATGATCGGTGGGCAGACGATCATGGTTTTGATGTGCGGCGCTTCACGGTCGAGCGCTAGGATCATGGTGTCGACATTCACATGTGGCGCTTCGGGAGGGAGAGTGAGGAGGTCGCTCGCATTGTCCCAGTCGTCGTAGACCTTGGTAGTAGCCTGGCCGTAGGTTCCGCTTCTGGTAACTTCACCGGTGAGTATACCGCAGCCTGAGGTGTGGATTAGGTAGCAGGTAGATTTGTTCTTCTTCATGCCGTCGATGATGGACTTGGTCAGCGGCTCATGGTCGCTACTGCCCCAGTTTATGACTACGTCTGCGGCAGCTGCCGCAGAGGAGATGACGTCGTGACTGTCAAAGTCTCCGATCACGAATTGTGTCCCTTGGGGCAGGAAGCGATTCACACTCTCCTCTTTCGCCTTGTTTCGGAGGAGGACTATCCATTCGTATTCGGGATGCGCAGCTGCAATTGCACGAGCGCTTGCATTGCCAACCCATCCAGTAACCCCGACGCTTTGTGGTTGACGCAAAGGTTAGCAAGTCTCTTTGGAATAATCTGGACGGAAGGCTTACGCGAATATCTTGATCATGTTGAGAGCTGCTCTACAGACGGACTCGTTTGAGTGGCTGCTTGGTCAGTGATGGACCTTCTTAAGTAGCAGGCAATACAAGCTGGCTTACTTCTTACCTCTTGTTCCTACATGTGAACATGATCGCGTCCGGCCAAAGACCGTTGAAATTCGTCCGGAGACGCACGCATGACGCATTTTTGATCTCTAGTCGCTTCCTTCATGCACCCTCAACCGTCTAATCTCTAATGCTCACGCACTGACTGTGCATCATCACATTGTTGCCTTTGGCACTTCCGCACTCTCGTCCGGAGACGAAAACCGTTGCAATTCGCCCAAACAATGAGCGAATAACGCAGTTGAAGTGATTACTACATCTGTATGTAGCTCCTAAAGCTGCGAACGCATGCTCATAGCGCGAAGCTGCCTGACCCGTCTCCGCGCGTGTAATGCCGCTTACCCGACCAGGGACTTGATTACAAATAGAAGAGAGTGATGCAGGCGTAGAGACGAAGTAGAGATGCATTCTCGTCTATCGATCAACCGTGATCAACCAAGGATAATCTTCGTCAGCGGAGTACAATTTGTATCCCATATCGCCTTCGGTACGCGTCCTGCTGCACGCCGGTATGCTACTCCTTCCTCGCGCTCAACCCATAGTACGTTGTAGAAGTGGTACTCTCGTCCATCTGGGCCTTCTTCGCCATACAACTCCATCTCTTTCTTGACCTCTTAGAGCTTGTTAGCTTGATCTTGCATCAAATTATCCTTGAGTGGGGAAGACAGAAGCGCAAGTGTAGTACTGACCTAAATATTCAGATGTCGCGGGAAAGATGAGATCGTAGTCCACATATGCTTCCATCTCTAGCCTGTATAGCTTATCTTCTTGATCGCCCTCAACACCAGTGGAATTGACGGCTCCAGTGGAAATGGCTATGAGATCCACTGTGTCCCCCATCTTGAGTTCAGCCTTCTCCATGTGGCGTAATATACCGGCAGAGAGCCCTTCCCGGTTCTCGAGAGTAATCAGGTCGCACGCATCCTGCCGTGTTGGGCCATTCTCGAAATTTGAGAGCTTGTATATCGACGGGAATATCATGCTGAACTTTCTCCGTGAGCGGGGATGGGAATGATGGACAGCTCTGATTTTCAAGGATAAACAGGAGGTCTGACAAGAAAGGATAGGCCACATATCGTGACTTTGAGGAAGGTGTTGCAAACTTGCACTGGGCGGTGTATGACTAGGGCGGGGCGAAGGACCCGATTCTCGATAAGCTGAGTGAACGGCATCTGCAATGCCTATGGTAAGGTCATCATGATGCCCGGTATGAGCTGATGGCACATTCGAGGATTTGTCGTCTTTCTTAACTATGGGTGCTCCATCTGCAGAGACCCTTGACCTATCTGCTGGTACTTGGCACTGCATGTCTTCGGGTAGAGAGTACCATTGTACGAGCTTTTGCGTCCTCCAGACTGGTGATCGTGAAGCGCGATGATGTTGTTTGAAATAGGCAGATCGCGTCCGAAGATGGTACGGGTCGACAGGGCATGTCCATCCACACCATGACCATGAAGGTAGATGCGCTTTTGGCGCCGTAGTACCAGAATCTTCGTCTCTTCGTACTCTGCGATACGCCTTGCGGAAGGGCTGCCATAGAAGCGCGATGTCTAGATGAGATCGAGGTAACCCGTAATGGAATCCAGAAGGAAAGTTACGTCCAAGGGTTGTCAAGACCCCAGAAAAAGCTGGTAAGACATCTTGGGGGTATGTGAACTCGCGGCTGTTGTAGAGACTGACCATCTCAGTGTATAAATCGAAGTCGGGGTAACAAGTAGAGAGCATGCGGCTAGCTCTCTCATAGTGTGGTACTGTAAAAGAACCACTTGTGGTTACAGTCATCTCCGGCCTTGGTCCATCTGGGCTCCAAACGCATTGCTGACATTCCCAGAATAGGTAACGGTAATTGAAAACAACTGCTCTCCTTGATAGCAGCTGTTCTTGGAAAGTCCAGCCACGGCTGGCCCACTCAGTACTATAGAGATCGTTGTAGAGGTCTTCCACCTTTTCATCCTTCACGCCTCCGTAAAAGGGACTTGAAAAACCGTCCAGCCTACCCCAGGGAGTCGCCGCTATGATTGTCAGATGCGCACCTGAGTATATATCGCCCATATGATCTATCTGCTCACGTGTCTTCTCGTCGTCCTGAACAATGCATAAACAGTCGACCCACAGGTAGGTCTCCCCAAGCTTTCTCACCAGCGATATGGCTTCTTTGACAGCAGTAGGAAGTTGCATCCCCACCTTTCTCAAATATCCAGGTGTTTGGAAGTCTGATAAGTTGAGCCTCTTCAACAGGATACTGTCAGGTGGACGCTTGTTATTCACGTCGTTGATGACGCCTCGTGACCATACGTAGCTCAATGCAACGTAGCGTGGTATGGTATTTCCAGCCACCAAACACGCCCGACTGATGTCGATGACCCAATGCGGCAACTGTTGAGGTAGTCTGTGCTCAAGGGGTGCTGGTTCACACTGGCCTCCGTGCTGAGCGTTGCACGATTTCATCCAATGAGTGATATATCGACGATTGACGTTGTCCGAGCCAGTATCTAGCTCTAGGCCTTCTTCGAGTCCGCCGCTGTTGACTAACAATTCCTTCGTTGCATGGTTGTAAGATGCCGCGGACCACATGAGCGGTGTTATACCAACCTTATCCTTAGAGTTCACATCCACTTTACCGGTGCTGATTAACATATCGGCAATCCTGACCGACCCTTCTCCGGTTCGCGAAGCCCAAGCTAAAGGAGTAAGACCACGTGTGTCTTTCGCATCGGGATCAACCTTTCCGCTAGCAAGCAACGCCTCTACCACGCTCTCCAGTGCTGTCGTGGCAGCGGACATCAATCGGCCACCTTGCTGCATCACCGCAGCAGAAAGTGGTGTTTGGTCGTTTTCATCTCTTGCCTCTAGGTCCACTCTGTCGTGTTCGACCATTAGCTTGACGATGTCCTTGTAACCACACGACGCAGCCACCCAAAGTGGACTTTGACCCCTCTTATTGCGAATATTGACGTTGACACCCTCCCTCTCCATCAACATCTTGACGACCGATTCGTAACGAAATTGTACAGCTTGGTGCAATAGAGACGAGCCTTCGTCATCCTGAAGATTGACATCGACTCCATTGTTTTCGAACAGCGCTTTGAATCCTGGAATGTTTGCGTTTCGAATGTCTCGTGATAATTGTAACCATTGTTCGTCTGTAGTCATTGTGGCAGGATTTCGCCTGGACCTTCAAGAGTTATTGACGGAATCGAGAAGTGAGACAATAAGCGCAGGATTGCTGTTGATGTTTCCAGGAACCCTGTACTTATATCCGCGAGACCAGTGCTGACATGCAGCCAAGGGTCAGGCGCACACCGGGTTTTGCCGATACTACCGGCTAAAGAACGAGGCATTATCGCTCCCAGCAATGCTGCCTACCTGAACCAAGTAAGCCGCGACTGCACCACAACGAGGCTGACAGTGAGCATGAGGTGGGGCCACAGCCTCCATATGACGGACTAAAAATCCCACGCCGTACGAAGGGACTTGGTGTCGTCGCTCACCCCATCAGGCTGACCATCTTCCCTCTTCCTCTTCTTAGCCTTCTCCTCCTGCTCCTTCTTCATGTCCCTCTTTTCTCGTCTCTCCACTGCGTCCCATTGATCAACTCCCCACTTGACATACTCTTCCAGCAAAGGCTTAAGCCCACCCCAAATCCTCTCCTCATACGCGGAGTGCTGAAACTCGATGCATAGCCACTCCAACGCCCTGAGCTGATCTATACCACCATAAAGATCCAAAGCTGCACGCTCGTAAACTCTCTTGTTTCCCTCGTTTGCTTCCGCGTACACCTTCTCGAATTTCTCGACGATGGGTTTGACCGACGCAGGTGGTATAAGTGTAACGTTGCCTTTCACCATCGCCAGTGCCGATGGTGAAGCACGCGTAGTCGCCTAGTTCGATTTCGTCGAAGTCTCTATCGCTGCCATGAAGGAGGTGACCGTTGTTTTCGTTGGGGAACAGAGTATAGTCCATGTCATGCATCCAGCTTCCTGATGTATTGACTTCGTCCGTGCTGTAGAAGATATCCTCATCGATGCCGTTGCTCGCACGTAGGAAGTCGTTGTAGTCATCAGGAAGCTTTCCGCCGGGGAGCGCGATGAACGAATGCTCGTCGGGTGAGGAGAGGCGTTTTTCGAGGGCGGCAATCTGAGCTTCCGTTGCGCCGTCCTTGAGAACAGTGGGTATTGTATCTTCACCGCTATCTTCGCGTTCGGTGAGGATGTTTTTGTCAACCATCTTTACAAGTTCGGCCATCGTTTTGGATCGATACGGTCGAGCGGGGCCTTCGGTAGAACGCTTCTCGATGAGGGCGCAACCTTCTTTGACATATTCATCCACGTCAGATGCACGCACACCGAATCTATCCCCGAGCTTAACAGACGCGAGAACGGGCCAGATGCCTGGGCAATACTCCAAGCCTTGGCGACGAAAGATGTAGTGCCTGGTCTCGTCACCGCTTCTATCTGGGTTGTCCCAATTATCCAGCAAGTACTGATATAGTTCTTTCATGTTATCTTCGACCAGACTGGTAGCTAGACGATGTTCGTCCGCAAGTAACGCAACCTGTGTCACCGCACCGAGCGTCATGGTTTCCCCGGCATGCCTGTAGGTAGCATCCGGCTTCATATTTAGGCGCTCGCGTATGGTTTCCACATCTTCTTTACTGAGCGTCCCTTCCTCAGCTTTCGTTGCGATGTCGTTCGGCAAACCCGCGGTGCTGATGCTACCCGTATCCGCGTGGTCTGCTCTGCGGGCCCATGTTGGGAAAGTGTCGCTAGTTGTCCATGCTCCTTGCAACTGCTCTTCGGTAGTGTGACCGTAGTAGTCCCAGGTTGTTGTGTCAAGACCGTACTTATGGATTGACTCGAGAAGTTTGTTGGCTTGGTGGGGAAATCCAAGAACGAACAGGTCTAGAGCTGCGTGCTGCGCTATCCTCGACGAGTTCAAATGCATGCGACAATTAAGAATGGAGGTCTTGGACCAGGGTATGAGAGGCAGGGCGCGTGCCATGATGTCGAAAGCGGCGTCCTAGGTGCTGCTGTGGGAGAGGATGAAGTGGCATTTTAGACCTGTGTTACATTTTTGAAGACCTTTGAGCTGCTAGCCGTAGATGTCACTATGTGCCGGTATCGTGGTGTTTTGAGATTAGCTGCCAGGCTGCAAGCAGCATCCGAGGTGCGATGACATCATGCCTGGACTAGCCAAGGCAACACCAGAGAAGCCTTCCAACATGACCGCGATTGTTCCAACGCGATGCCATGAAATGATTGAACCTATACCCATGCCATCGGTATGTCAATCTTTCCTAAGGGTCCTCGATGCGCGACACGTCGATGGACCGCGTCGTCAGGTGACATCCACGGATACTCGGCCTCGGGGGACTCTGGAAGGTACCCCGAGATGCGCAAGCGAGCCTCGCGCGGTCTAGACGATGTGCGCAGATCCGTAAAACTAATGCCAGGGACGTGTAGGCGACACTACTAGTCGTATGAATGAGGTCGAAAGGAACGAACATTGTCGTTGCGTCCTCCGTCAGCAAAGCCACCGGATTGTGGCACAGCCGCGCGATTTAATCAACTGCCGCCTGGGCAAACTGTGCCAATGTCGGAGGTCCCGTCGATCCTGCAGAATTGAGGTTTCCGCTCGCGTAGACATTACAGTTTTTCGTACGGAAAAGCGTCGCCACACATCACATGACGTGCTGAGAAATCAGGGTCAGCTCTGGCTGGCTCCAAAACTTCGGCCCGTGGAGGTGGCGCGGCGGCTCTTGTGGATCTGGTGGGGTCGGTCTTAGGGTCCGATCCACAACTCAACAGCGTTGGATTCGTCCGTTCGCCATGCTTTCATAAACCTTGAACTACGCAATCTTGACCGGTCTTCAATCAAGTGTAATGGCGACCATGCAATCGCTGAAAGACAGTCGCGCGACGACGTCCTGTACTGAGTGTCAACGGAGGAAGCAAAAGGTGACGACACTCCACATTGGCCCTGCATCTACCCCTTGAACTAATGACGCGGCTAGTGCTCGCGAGAATGGCCCTGCAATCACTGTCAGGCACGAAAAGTACCCCATCTATGTCAATTCTCTGTCAAAAGAGGGCAGCAGGAGCCTTCTCCAGAATCGTCTCGGTATGTAGATCGTCCTGCCTACCCCGCCATTAGCGGAACGCGGTAGTAACGGCGATTGCGCAGTGAAAATTCGGCCTCCAGCATCAAAGGCACAAAACGAAGCGCTCCTGACTCTGCAGAGCCGCAGTTTCTGTCGCAGGATGGCGAGCAAGAAGAGCTTGAAGATGGGCTGAAAGCGTGGGGGTACATGCCTGGTCATGTGCACTACAAAGTCGGCGGAGTCGAGGAGGTAAGAAGATACCCCCCAACATTGATATCAACTAACGCGATCAAGAACGGTCCCCGGAAAGACTCACCAACAGAAAGCTCCGTTACGACGGATGTTCTCGAGAAAGTCCTTTCAGCCGTGCCGCCAAGATCAATAACGGGTAGGCACAAACATCGCGAGATCTTAGCAATCCATTCTCTAACCATAAGCAGATGCGTTCGTCAACCACTTCCTCAATGTCGTCAACTACCGCTACACTGCAATATACGGGCCAACATTAGCCGAACAATACGTCCAATGGTGGGCAGATCGCGGTGCCGGAAAGCAACTTTCTCCAGAATTTACCTGCCTGCTCCTGAGGATCTGCGCGTACTCGGTGCAGTACCTCACACCTGCGCTCCGCAAGATGATTGAGTTCGAACTGGCTTGCAATTGCCAGACTCTGACGGACCGGTTCTCCGACGCAGCGGAAGAGCTAAGCCGGAGTTTTGGAGCAGCGAGAACGAGTGTTGAACGAGTGCAAGAGCTGTTCCTGAAGTGCGTTTGGTTGAAAGCCGAGTCAAAGATCGTAGAGTCGTGGCATGCGCTTTCGCGCACGATTCGGGAAGCGCAAGAGCTGGGCATCGATAAGGATGGAGGTATCGAAGGCTTGTGTGAATTCGACATTGAGATCAGGAGACGTCTCTGGACGCTGCTGTACATCTGGGACTGGTAAGTACAAACCTGCGTATGTTTGCAGCATGACCTGACTCTCGCGCAGGCAAATGTCAGCATGGCTCGGCCGTCCAAACCTCATCGACCAAAAGAATCTCGACTTCAAGTTCCCCAATCTACGGCTCGACAAGTCGACCACGGAGCCAAACCTACTATCACCCTTCGCACACATCGCCCTTCAAGCAACCCTCGGCCGTAGGATCGCCGCTACCATGGGGAATGCCCAATCTGAACACGCTCTCTCGGACAAGCAGGTCTTGGCGATAGAGGCAGAATGCGAAAAGTTCATCGAGGAGCTGCCACCTATATTCCGCTTCACAGACCCCGACACATCATTTGATGAGTCCCATCCTTTCTTCGTCTTCCAGCGCTGTCAGCTGCATTGCGTCATCTTCGTAACGATGCTGAACTTCTTCAAGCCCTACCTGACCCGAGAACGGCGAGACGCGATAGCCGACCAGGACGACGAGTTCCGGAAAAAGGGCGCCGACATCGCGTTGCGTCTTCTGAAAGTAGCGCGCCAGCTCTTCGACCACGAGTTCCCCATCAATGCGAAATTCCATATGGTTGTCTTTGCGATCTTCGATACCGCGACCTTACTCTGCTCGGCTATCATCCACGACCGCGAGCACCTCCTACCTCATCGCGAAGAGATTGTGGATGCAATCGAAAGCTCGCTGGACATGCTGCATCAACTCAGCGGGACAACGAAACTAGGCGCTACATCGTACAACTTCCTCTTCAAGCTCGTGCAGGCCACACCGGAGCTTTCGCGATACTCATCGGCGAGCAAGCGACAACGGCAAACTTCTTCCTCGGTACCTACGACAACACCGCCAGTGCCGGCGCATGAGCCTGCACCTGTAGCGGTGATGCCACCGGTGAAGAATCCAGCGCCACCGGAGCCAGCTGCTGCACCGGTACTTTCTACTGCTACCGAGCTTCCGTCGATGACGATCTCGGATGAGCTGTCCTTCGATATCGATCAGTTCCTTGCTCAAAATCCCTTTGGCACGGTCGGCGATCCAGCGGCTGTTGATATGGGTGGTATGGAGCAAATTTGGGATTGGCAGGATTTGCATATAGATGTTTACGCGCAAGGAGAGCCGGATGGATGGAACGCTACTGGTGATGGCTCTTGATCATGTTCGGATCGTATTCTTGTCAACGCTGTGTACCCCTTCCAGCGCTATCTCGAGCGCGAAGCCACGGTTCGTCCAGGGGAGTGAAGAAGGGTCTAGGTCATCAGATCTGGAATATGTTGCCAACGAGTCGGTAGCCTCTGGATCCTGTGTTCGACTGCCGCAGCCGTAAGGTTGGGTTCAACCCGGTAGTAGGCAAGTGTGCACCCGACGATATTGGCCCTCAGACTTTCATAGCGAGTGATGATGCGCTCGTACGCACTGCAGTCTGCGTCGCGTGTCTGTTCCTCGGGTCATTTTTCTACGTTCATGCATGTTAGCTCTTTGGCGTACATGTAAGCATATAGTAATATCATGCCATAGTCTTACTTACGCTGGCGCTCGAAACTACCTTGCCCCCGATGCTATGTCTAAATCATGCATTCGCGATTGAAATATCTCTGAATTCGGCATGAACGAAATGCTGAGACAAGGTTTCGCAGTTTTAGAAGTTCAGAAAAGGGCGGACGGGGCTGAAGTTAAGTGTCGCAGGGTGGCTCAACCCCGAAAACCTTCGGAGGCCCTAAGTCGCCGCAAACATCGTCATATGTGGCGGTGCAGGGAGACAAGCTTTTGTTTAGTAACTTCGTTTTTCTTTGCACATGGTGAAGGAAAAGCAAGAATGTTATTGCTGCTATACTCAAGGCAAGCCATCATCCTTAACCGATGGTCTCACTTAACCCTCAACACCATGTCAACAACAGACCAGACGTTATACTCATGCGATCAGAACGGGGCTGATTTGCAACTCAGCTTCCTCGCTTTCTTTGTCGACATGGCTTCTAGCTCAGCGGCCTTGCGCTTCTCCGTGGGCTTCCTGACGCGCTTCGGGCGTTGCGGCTCGTCCGTTAGCAAGGCACTAGGGGATTCCATGACTTGCTCCTTCATGACTGGCTTGGCCGATAGTCTCAGGACCAAGCGCGGATGTGTGGTACGTCGTTCAGGCGTCGCGGGAGGATTGCTCGGATGTGGCGGTATTCCTCCGACACCGTGGTCTCGTCCGACCGATGTCGATGTAACATCCTGACTGTGCGTCGCGAGAGGAGTATCCCTCAGATCCTCCAGTCTGATATCCGCCGTGGACGTCGAACGCGGTGTGTCGAAATACAAAACCTCCGGTTCTTGCCCTTGGACGCGTACCGCAGCGAAGCTGTTCTCTGTGCGCATTTTCCAGTCGCTCAATTCCGTCAAGAGCTTGGCGTGATTGCCGAGCTCTTTGCACTGCTTTAACGAAAGCCCCAGGAGTTCGTTATGTTTGTCGGAGAGAGCTTGGTAGTCCATACGCAGACTACCGTATGATGAGGAGAGCACGTCGAGCTGCTCCTCTAGGTCAAGAAAAGACTGTGCGCTGCTGATCTGTAGGTTGTCGAGTTCTTGTCGGAGGGCGCGAATGCTTGATTTAGGGTCTATCGCAGACATCCGACGGCTTCCGTGGTCTTGGCCATCGTAGACTGTGGGCGGTGTGTTGTAACGGAGACGGACGATGCTACATAATGTCAGCAGGTCACCTACCTGATCTGGACGTCCTCAACGGCGTACTCATCCGCTTCATCAGCGAAGTATTGACGGCAGCTCTCAGTCAAGGACTGTTCACTGTTCGATGGAGATTCGTATCCGATGATGGGGAATTTCTTGTCGCCCGTGATGTAAGGCTGCCAGTCGCAGTCGCTATCGCTATCGGACGGCTCACACATGGAGGACAAGTCAATGACCTCGTGTTGACACACCTCTTGGTCACAGTAGTGATCATTGCGGGCTGCTGGCCATTTGGGTGTAGTTGCGACGGATCGGGACGCTGCAAAACGTTTCCGTTCATCAAGTAGCTTGTAGAAGGCAACCACGCATTGAGCGCTGTTCCTGCTGACGAGGGGTTCGGCGTCGCACATGTTGGTAGCTGATAGTAACAGTTGATAGAAATGATGGTCGTGCTATTGCTGAGTGGTGTTTATGGCACTGTTGACAGAAGATGCTGGTGCATGTCGCTCGAAAGAAGGCTGACCCACGATAGAGCGGATCAATGAGGAGGGCTACTACCTCGTCCAATTTCAGACGACGTTCGCCGTTGCCATTTGGGAGGAACACGCATCTCACCTCAAGGCAGCCTCGACGCAAGGCTGGAGCAGTTGGGGTGAGAGAGATGGAAAGATCGAATCAAACCTTATGTATCTTTGCAAGGCTGATACTGGGAAGATGCCGACACCGGGCGCAGAGTGCGCAAACATTCCTCAGTGACATGCATGCCGTCCTGCAGCTTTGCCTATGGTGTCGCTCGAGAGATGCAGTTGGTGTCAGATTCAGGCGAAACATGGTGGGAAGAACCGAAAGATTCTTGATCTTGCTGTCGCCAAGTAATGCCGTACGTAGGTTACATTCGGGTAGCACTACAGTACCGAGGCGATACGAGGTCAACAGAAAGGCCCTGAGTCCTTGTATCGAGCATGTCGCGTGACATTGCCCGTTGTCGATGCGACTTGCTTTAGGGCAGGCCCACCCTCGCGCCTACTCAGCACGTGCTGCCAAAGAAAGTGTTGCATTCGGAGGAGACCGGTGAACTTACTGCAGTGGTTGGCAGGTGTGGAGCCGGGCAAGGGTCCAGCAACCTGCCACAGTGAACGGCAGATTTCTCGTTGCAATTCGAGCGTTTCGGTCTCGGTCTTTCCAGTAGATTAGCAGTGGCAGGCCGCGCATTCAGGGCATGTCGATCTCCCATCGATGTTGGGGTCGAAGGCATCCCGCGCGTTCTGGGACTGATATCTCTGGGACGTCATGCCTGATCCGGGCATTCAACGAGAACACTCGAGCCACCCCGCTTACTGTCGGTGTGATTAACGTCTGGCGATAATTTGAGGCCGGTCTTCTTAGCCATTTCGCGTGTGCGAAGCCTGCGAAAGTAAACGTAATCGGCACGTCTTTAGTCTAGTCGCGTTTCGGCACGCGGCAAAATTCGTCGGGTCCGCCACAAGCGAACAGCCTCGCGACGCGAGGTCAACGTCGCAGTAGCAACGACGATCTGTGCTGGTAGCCATCAATGTCAACCGATGCACCTGGTCTGCGAGCTGTTGTGTTCATCGAGGGCTCAGCGTAAGGTTCTGTCATTGCGCGCATCAGGCGCGCTGCTGCAGGCGCACCCACGCACAAGAAGAGAGACTGCAAAGCTTACCAGACCGATGGTATTAGCTAAGGCCAAGCCTAATAGGATCGAGCGAACCACAGAGGCGACGTGGGATGATCTTTGCAGTGAACGGCAGAGGAACGTGATGGGGTCTGATGCTTGGTCCACCAAGCACTACGTCACGGCGCGCCTTAATGCCGCTACCTTGGCGCACCGTACCAACGACTCCACACCATCTGTCCGTTCCAAAAGATTTTTTGACAGGGGCGGCGCCGGGGAGAGCTGGAGTATATGAGGGGCCATGACCCTCCTCCAGGACCGAGCTCGTGTAACTCTTGTCATCAATTTCCTGCGACCCTGCTGTCGCGGAAGCTTGCCATATCCAATATACAAGCTTTTCCAAGCCTCACAAGCCTTTAGCATCCTGCTTGGGTGAAGACGCCGTGACGGTTCGACACATAAACGACAACGCCACCAGATTACAGCGACATCGACGACTGGACGACCCTGGACAGCATCATCCCAATCGCGACTGCCCCATTATCGCACCCATCCTTACCATTGCGCCAACCCCAAGCAACAACCCCACGCCCATCCTCCATCGCGGCACCACCACCATCATTACGCCAAGATGGTCCGAACTATGTTTGTGAATCCCTTCAAGGCCCATCATGTCGACGAATTCCCCGGCGTCCATGTACCTCTTGATGACTCGACCCATCGCGCTTCTGTAGCTTCCACCCACCCACGCGCCTCCCTCGCTGCAACAGAGAAAACGACCAAAGACGACAAACCAGAAGATGGCCTCACGCGCCCTGACAGTAATGCATCTAGTGGTGTTGTTAACCATGGCTTGACAGTCGCAGCATTGAAGGCAGAGATTGAAGCAGAGGTCGCTGCTTCGGACAACGACACGCCATATGACCGTACGTCGTGTGGCTTTTCCTATCACCTCCGATAATAGTCACGAGGAAACAGTACTGATCTTCCACAGGCAAGTCCAAGGTTATCAACAAAGCCTTGCAGGATATGGGCATGGGCCGCTACCAATGGCAGCTTTTTGCTCTTTGCGGTGGCGGTTGGATGGCCGACAACTTGTGGCTGCAGGTACGCGTATCAAATTCCCCATCAACCAACAGGACTTACCATGATCCAGGGTGTTGCTCTCACACTACCACAACTCAGCGTTGAGTTCGGTGTCAGCGAGACGGAAGTCAGATACACCACACTAGCGCTCTTCCTCGGTCTCTGCATTGGCGCTTCCTTCTGGGGAACCGCGTCTGACATTATCGGTCGTCGTCTCGCTTTCAACTTTACTCTTTTCCTCGCTGGTGTCTTTGGTCTTGCATCCGGCGGTGGGCCCAACTGGATCGGCACATGCGCACTCTACGCTTGCATTGGTCTTGGTGTCGGTGGTAACCTCCCTGTTGACGGCGCTTTGTTCCTCGAATTCCTGCCTCAAACATCGGGAAACCTCCTCACGCTGCTTTCGATCTTCTGGCCCGTCGGTAATCTGGTTGCCTCGCTCCGTAAGTCGATACCGCTAGCTATACTCACCACTTACTGACGACCTGCAGTGGCATGGGCATTTATTCCCAACTTCTCATGCGCTGACGGTACTCCCGTCGGACAATGCCGCATGGAAGACAACATGGGCTGGCGATACCTCATCCTGACTCTCGGCGCCATCACATTCTTCATGTTCATCTGCCGCTTCTTCCTCTTCCATCTTTACGAGTCACCCAAGTTCCTTTTGTCTCGCGGTCGCCAGGCCGAGGCTGTCGCCACCGTCTACGGTATTGCGCACTACAACAAGACGCACACTTGGCTCACCGAGGACATTCTCAACCAAATCGGCGGCGACCAGGAAGTCACCGGAGAAGATGTCAAGCTTAGCGTCTTCGAAATCGTCAAGCGCTCCCTTAGCCGTTTCTCGATGAAGCGCTTCAGGACTCTCTTCCAGGACAAGAAGATTGGTCTTACCACCGCACTACTCTGGTTCCAATGGTCGACTATCGGTATGGCCTACCCGCTATTCAACGCTTTCCTCCCGCAGTACCTCAAGAACTCGGGTGGCGGCGTCGAGAACGACATCAGCATCGTCTACCGCAACTACGCCATCACTGCCATCGTCGGAGTCCCCGGATCCATCCTCGCCTGCTACACCGTCGACCTCAAATACGTTGGCCGCAAGGGCACAATGGCCATCGCCACCGTCATCACCGGTGTCTTCGTCTTCCTCTTCACCATCTCTTCCGACTCCGACTTCCAGCTTGCCTTTACATGTCTCGAGGCTTTCTTCCAGAACATCATGTACGGTGTCTTGTACGCCTACACACCTGAGGTGTTCCCTGCCCCAATCCGTGGCACGGGTACTGGAATGAGCAGTTTCTTGAACCGCGTTGCTGGTCTTTGCGCGCCTATTGTTGCTATCCAGGCGGGTGGAAGTAACCCCAAGGCGCCGATCTACGCCAGTGGTGGATTGTTCATTGCGGCGTTCTTCAGTATGTTGGTGCTGCCTATTGAGACGAGAGGCAAGCAGACTTTGTAGATGGTGCTCATTGAGTACTTGACGGCAGGACCGTATAGCGCAGTTGCATGATATGTAGCGCTAAGAAATGATAAATATCCATTTCATGTCAAATTATTCCACCTGGTGTCTCTCGCCGTGCCCTCTGACTAACCACCACATCCCCTCCACCTCTACACATCTTTATCCCCCAACTCACAGCCTCGCCCTCACGTCCTCCAGCCTCAAACCCCACCCCCTCAACCACTTCTCGACAAGCTCTTCCGTAACGCCTTCAACCTCCGGCAACATCTCCCTCGCATTCTCATTCCTAAAAACCAACGCCTCGCCCTCCCTCCCCTCCCCACCCTCCATCAAAAACGCATGCATCTTAAACTTCTGTGGATCCAACATCCCCAACCACTGCGGCAAGCTACACTCCCTAACCTCAAGTCCAAACCGCCCAACCAACACCTTCTGCAACAGCACCCAAGGCGCGGGACGGGGATGCATCATGTTGTACACTTTAACATTGTCTGCAGATGTGCTCTGCTGTGATAAAGTGACATTGGCAATCCCTTCCGCCAACGAATCCACCGGAATCCAATCCACAGCATTCATCCTCACGGGCCAGTACCCCAGTTTCTGACTTGTCTTGAAAATCACCCACAACCAGCCCTGAATCGGCCACTGCGGTGCTTCAGGCAAAGCAGACGACGCGCCCCCAATCTGACCTGCGCGTACGATAGCGACGCGTAACCCGTGCTGTTGACCTGCTCGAGCGAGAAGTTGCTCCGCGAGACATTTACTCTGACCATACCCCGTGTTCGCTGCACTGGCAAAGTCCCAGGCGGGGACTTCGGGGATGAGCGGTGTGGAAGGGTGCCGGGTTGGGTGATTCATTATCGAAGTGTTCGAGGACATGAAGGTTACGCGTGGGTTTAGGGGACTGGCGATACATGCAGTGATAACGTGTTGAACAGCGTTAAGGAGGGGAAGGTAGCCGATGAGAGGCGTCGCCCAATTTGCGTTCCACGCATTGAAAACGATTTCTGAGACGTTGGTCGTGAAGTGTGTGTATTGGGTGGGGGATAGGCCGAGGTTAGGGAGTGTGATGTCGGTTGTTGTGAAGGTGAGGCGGGTGAGGTCTTCGTTGCTGATGCGGGTGAGAGACGAGGTGGTGCGTTGTTCTGCGTCTTTGCTACGGTTTAGGCAGAGGATGGTGGCTTGGGGGTGTTTTTGGAGGAGAGAGGCGGTGATGTAGGGGCCTAAGAAGCCGGTGGTGCCGACGATGGCGATGGTCTTTTGTTCGGTCATTGCTGTTTGTGAGAGTGTGGTGCTATCTTTGACTGGGACAAGATTCGTGAGATCTATAATCGGGATGGTGAGAACACTCAGCAGTGGTCCATTGACACTATTACGCACGCAGGTAAGTGAAGAATGAATTCGGTACGTAATGTGAGGCACAACTTCGTTTGCGCCTCATATTTGAAGGCGGTGGTCGGTAAGTGAGGTCACCTCCACGGACATGTTGAACATGCCGTGCAACACCCATTGGTGGGTAATCAAGGGGCGTCCTGCATGTAGTGATGTTAAGCCCGATACTTGTTCTCGCCAATGAATTGAATGTGAGATACACACTTGCGTCCGCGGATGCTTGCCAATTTCTCATAAAAGCGCAAGGAGCCCAACCACGATAGTGATGTGCTGCCACATTGTATACAATACACATTGATTGTACCGATCTGTGTAGAGCGATGTCGCGGGAGCGATACACGACAGGGCTCTGTGTGGCGTTGCTCCAACTGCGTGGTGGGATCTTGGTACGTGTTGACTTTGGTGTTTCCCCAGCTCCATAAGACGGACTGCAAGGCCTAGACCTAGCGCGATAGTAATCAGAGCAGGCTGAAGATTTGTCGACGGAGAGGGTATGATGCGATAGGCTAGAGATGGGTAAAAAGGTCTACTGGCGACGTTCAGTTCACATCGCAGCATCTGCCGTGATACAACATGCCAGTACCCGATACGTGACGGTTCGCATGCATGGGTAATTGTGGGCGCAAGGGTGACCCAAGGCTGAGGCACGGAAAAGAGAGGTTTGAGATATCCCTTTGGTCTGATGATGTAGCAATGCGGCTCCACAATCGCCACGCGCTGCAACCCTCGACTCCTTACCTCTCCATATCACACATTGCCTACGCCCACCGCAACGGCTGCCGCTTTGGTCGAATGATGTACTCCGCAGCGGCATAGGGCGATGGTGGTCAAAGGCCGTTAGGCGTTGCCGCGCTTGCCATCGCCTTTCTTAAAGAAGAAGCTGCTCCGAGCTGCCCTCGACTGAGCGACGGTCCGCGCTATCGTAGACTTTCCCATGCCGACCATGCCACTCAGCCAGGATGTAGACTTGCCTTCCTCGCTGTCCGTCCATATTGTTGTATCGTCTATCAACTCGGTGCGGGTGTTCGACAGACATCGTGCAGTGTGCTCGTCGCCGTGGGAATCGCATGAGGCGCCTGTCGCGAAAGGCAGTCTGGCTAGATCCAGCTTCTGATTATGTTGAACACAAGGACTGTGTAGTTAGTGAGAAGCTGGGTCTGCGTATGAGATATCTGAGTACAGAAACTTTCGCCTGATCGACCTGAAGTGTTAAGCTGAACGTTGTCCATGATGCAAGGTCTTGATAGGAGAAGCAGACTGGTCGATCGCGCTTCGGATCGTCGTAGGCAGACGGAGCAGCCAGGCCGCTGTCAGGCTGGGCGCAAAGTACCACCGAAAGTCATCACAATCGAATCATTCTGAGACAAGCGCGAACACAAAAAGATGCTTTCAGGGTGAAAGTAATGGTGCAAGTCGTTATCAGCTGCCCGAAGCTGAGACGGCTGGCACAGCGTTGCTGCATTGCGTGCGGCCCGGCGCCCGGACCGCTTCGGAAACACGTTTCGCCGAAGCCCGCTTGTGCGTCATCGAGTGATGAGCGGAACACCATGCCGATGTCATCCTCCCATCGCGTGCATTGCGATATTTCTGTTTGAGCTTACTGGTGATTCGCTAGATAAGGTACACTACCACGACACCATTCGATGACCTGTGTACAGCAAATGAGAACGCCCATCAACCACCCGGCACGTTGCTTCCTGAAGAGCGTGGTCGCCCTACATACGCGAATTCACGCTGCGACGCTCTTTGTGCACCCCAGCCTCCAGGCTCCAAGAAGCTACTCTCCTGCGATGATGGCATTAACATCCTCCCGACGTCTCGGTCGAAACCGAACCCACGCACAGGCTTATCGCTGACATTGCCCGACCGCAAAGATACATACTCCCCACGATCGCGACGCAACAGCGACCCAATGTTCAGCGCTTTGTTTGCACTAGTCATGAGTAGCTTTAGCGTTGGACCAGATCGCTGATTGTATACCAGGTTTTGAAGCTGATCGACGACACCAAGAATTTCCCTGTCCCAACCACGAAGCGGAGTTTCGAAATCGGATATTCCGTCTATCACGCAAATGATCGTTATTGACTTGTCCATGTTGCACACGATCGACCCGAACAGAGATACCAATGCTAGCACGTTGCATTGCGACACTGCGTCGTAGAGACCTTGCTCCATTGGATCTAGGTCTATGTCCGGAGTGCCGGGATAAAGGATCAGCTGAGTGATGAGGCTGCGTATAAGTCCTGATGGTCCGCTGATCGTGTCTTGTTCAACCCTGGTATGACTGCTGCAGAAGAAGCGCAGGACTATATTGGAGCTTGTCTGGACGAGCGTGGTTGCTAAAGAAGCACACAAGACGGACAACGGAGATATCTTTCCGATACCATCGTCTTTGCAATACCCATCAACCAGCAGAATCCCAGAGAACGGCTGACTAAGCCAATTCTTGAACTGCGCAGTCGTGAGCAGCCATCGCGCCTTGCCGAGGCCCTTGGGTCGTAAAGAGTTGCTCTGCCTCAAGATGTGCTCCGTTTCGCCGCTCAAGTATCCGAGGTCCACGTGGAGTGTCAATAGAAGCTCTTCTATCGTCACTGAAAATGTCCGTTGGGTAAGACGTCGCTCCTTCGCAATGACCTCGGCTCTAACAGTTTGCTGGACAGGCTGCCCTAGAGATGGATGAGCTTGTGACTGGGTCCATAAATTTGGGCTCGACTTACTTGAGCGATACACCGTTTCCGAGGCTAATAATTTGTACAGTTCAGTCTGAATCATAGCAGCAACCTCATTCTTGGATACCATCGTCGACATGCAGTCGCTCATCCTCAGGAATCCTTGCTTGTTGTCTTCTTTCATCTCTTTACATGTCTTCATCACGTTATCCTGCACCAATGTGAGATGCTCATCCAGAACATCAACTTTTCCATCAAGACAAGTGCCTTGTTTCAAGACTTCGCTGATGCCTCGGTTGAGAGTCTTCGTCTCCCCATCGAGAAGCCTGACTCCCTGCGATACTTTATGAACTTGAGCACGCGTTACGTGCAACTCGGTATCGATCGCGGAAGTCGTCTTGCGGATTTGCTCCAGGCTTTGTGCGCTGAGAATGTCGACTCTCATCGTCACCCCGGCCTTGGCGTTTTGGATGTTATGATCGAGTCCCTCCAACACGACTGCTTCGTACTCTGGCAGTCGTGTCTTTATACGGCGGAGGACTATCGAAGCTGAGGGCTTGACGGCTTACATCGGATGGGGTAAAACTTACGCGACCCTTCTTTGCGACATCGAAGCAGCATCTCGATAAGCAATTTCAGGGAATCGACGATGATACCGTAAAGATCGTACGTCTTCGCCTTCAGTTCACCATCTCGAAATATCTTGTACATCTCGGCTGTCGTCTTGAGAGTGTCAACAACGTCTGCGAGTAGCTCTAGTATCTTCTCTCGATTCTCGATGCGTTGTTCCCAGGCCTGGACAGACGGTCAGCTAATATAAAAATCAACATATGGAGCAATGATACCTGGAAGATGAACGACAATCCTCCGCGTAAGACACCAAGGCCTTGTTCTTCTGGGATTATGGAGCAAAGAGAGTCGAGTGTCCTGGCATCAGCCTTGCCGCCCCGAATGAAATTTCGAAAGGAACCTTTTGGAGCTTTGGTTTCGTACGCCGCGTTCGCAGCATCGATCTGCTCGAAGACATCGTCCCAAGTACAGTTCTCGGATTTGCATCCAGGGAACAATGTACTGGCCTTGCTGAGAACAGCTTCAAGCTCGCTTTCCAGCATGAGTTTCTCGTTCTTCGAGCGGTAGGGTGCTGCAATTGGGAAACTTACTTGCTCGGTATGGTCCTGAGCTCACCACGTTGACTGTTGTATTGGGTGGGCACAGACAGTGTGGAGCGCAAAGCACCACCGGTGGTTGTCCTGAACAGCTGAAACCTTCTAATTTCGTGCTCGTCGTTCATTACTTCCTTCACATTTTTGGGAGGCAAAGGATTTTGTGGAAGTTCATTCATTGTGGATCCGAATACTGCAGATGTAAGGGCTTGAAACTCAGGGTTGTCGAATTCTCTTCTTCAGTCTGCTGCCAGCTGGAGGTCGCACAGCTTCAGAAGGTAGCACACCAACTTGCTCAGCCCCATTGCAATATGCGCCACCAAAGCAACCTTCTTGCAGCTACCCCAACATCGCTTGTCGACCTCCGGTAAAATGCAAATGATAACGCAAACATCGCATTTGCTGCGTCAGCGCCGGATGGGGAAATCCAATCCGAAGGCTTGAGGCCAAATGAAGGGACAGATCTCAATGCGTGAGATGGGGGCCGAGAGACTGCTGCAGAGCCAATCTGAGCAATGCTGTTATCAGCTCGGTTTTCAGCAGTTGGGCTGTGCAAGCGCTAGATCTGGAAGCCTTTGAGAGAGGCGTGTTGATCCCAGGCTAACACCGACAAGGGTCGATACAGGAAAAGGCAGCTGGGGGCCAAAACTCCCGACAAGGCAAACGCCAAGGGCTTATTTTCGCGAAGCTCATCAACTGATAGGCATTGCAGGTTCATCTCCGAGGGTGTTAAGACAGTCTCTCCAAGGAACACCTCACAGCTGCTATACTCGCTTAGCCTGACGAACGGCAGCAACTGCAATACCCAGCCTACAGGTATACGCCTTAGCCAATCACCGATTTTCCCCGCACTACCTCCAATGCACGTCGATCCTGATTTTTCTCACTCAGCGTCTCGATGCAGCAGTTGGCTTATTGAATCAGCCGCGGTATCTCGAGGTCTGCACTTGGCCCCTGCCAGCCCCCGTTTTGACCGGACATTACGGGGAACTTGCTGTGATAATCTGACCCGCAAGCAACCACAATTATATATCGGCAATGATCGCTACTGGTGAGAAGCGTCTGTAGCACACGCGCAGCCGACATATATCCTGCAAGCTCGGCGCTTTGGGTTGTAGGTGACCGCCTTTAGCCTACAGTACAACGAGGAAGCCTCGCGACCTTCCTAGCAGAATCTCGACGTCTTTCGTCCCATTCTGTCACCAAGCCGGTCGTCAGATTCTTGTAATTCTTTGCTAGCGCATACCTTACCTCCCATCTAAGACCTCTTTCACCTTTCCACGCTGTGAAAAATCGACCTTCACGTCATTTGCGCCAAACAACACGATGGAGGCGGCGTCTCCTAGAGCTGCGAACGTGGAGCAAGAACTCAAGCAGCCAGTCTTAAGTACTGTATGCCAAGTATCGGACCCTGCCGAATGTGATATGCCGACGCCGAAAGAGGTCCCGAACAAAGATTCCAGAGAGGGCGATGCCATCGTTGCGCAGCTGGAATCTGGATCTGTATTGCTTAATCAAATCAACCAGAGTATCTGTGAGCTCACGAGTTCGATCAAAGAGCTAGTCACTTCCAGAACAGAACAGGCACCCACAGCGAAGTCTGACGAACCTGATGCAAAGAATTCGAAAGACCAGAAGGGAGCCACTAAAGTTGAAGGGAACGTAATCACTGAAGAAGAGACAAATGGCGTGGTGTTCTCGGAAAAGGTCGTTCCTCAAGTGCGAAATTGCAATTGGGAACAGTTCAAGAACAGGGATGACGGGGGAGAAGAAGTCTTCGCTTTGGAGGTACTGATTACCAGTGGATCATTTCCACGTCAAATGGAAGACGAGGATGCCAGAAGGGCGCGCATTCCTGGACGAAAGCCTGAAGTCCAACCTGATTCTGAGGACCCCACCCCGATCACGAAACATGGTCTAGCGCATAGCGCAGTACGCAGAGGCAGCTGGATTCATCAGGTCCGGATCAATTCCAAAGCCGTCATGAAGATGCTTGGGAAGTTCAGTGATGCCAACAAAGCCTGGGAAGGGAAGCCACATACGTTTCTGCAGCCTTTTCGACTTCTCATTCACTTCCACGAGAAGATGAAGAAGGAGCTTCAGATCATCGAGACAAAGGTTGCAGGCTCATCAGCACCACCAGAAACAAAGGGAGCCTCGCTGGATGAGATCAAGCCGATGGATATAGCGCCTGCTTCCGTTGCCGATGATGAAGACACGAACAATAAGAAAGAGCAAGATCCAGACGATCTGGAAGCGTTGTATTTGGAGAGAGAAACGCTTGAAGAGGTCCAGTGCTATGTCAACTTTGTGGAAGAGCACCTGCTACCTCTGCGCCAACAATTCCGTGATCCGACCGCTCCAGGGGTGCCTAAAGTTGGCTACGAAGACCTGAGCTATCTCTTCGAGCCCGGCGATCTTGTGTATGTCCCAAAGTCTGGCCAACAAGGACCTAGCGCAAACTCAACCACGCAGGAGATCCGCAGAGTATTTCAGGTCCATGTCGGCTACAACAAAGAGTTGACCGGCTGCGGTTGCTCCATCTGCAAGGTACAGAAGTTTACCTCCATCCAGTCATACTATTTAGACTATGATGGCGAGGGATACGGTTGTGTTATGACTCCAATCCCTTTCGAACCATTTGCGGGGAAGAAGCTTATCACTGAGCTGCCATGCTACCCACTCCGATTCGTCGAGGATCGAGAAACGAAGCTGAAACACGCCAAGAGTGACGGGTCCAGATTCGTGGAAAACATCGCTAAACGATACGGCTATTATAACGGATGGTCGGTCATCAAAAGCCCCGCCGGGGACGACATTGAAGACACAAAAGGGGACATAATTAAGAGTCCAGAGCATATCGACAGCGACGTCTTGGTGGACTTCACCGAAGCTTCCAACGTATACCCAAGGTGGAAACCCGAGCTTACCACACTAGAAGAAGAGACATGCAACCTGACACCGGTTAGCGATGACACATCCATCATAACATGGAAGGGCTCTGACCGCAAAGATCTTCTTCGGGAAAGCCATGACAGTCTCATGGATGATAGTTTGTTCGAGTCCATGGAGTACAATGCTTATATCAAGCGCGATGCCTTTCTCGCAAAGCAGCATAACGAAGTTCCTCCTACGGAAGACGACCTCGCTCTTCTACCACGGCGCATGTTCGCGTACGCTGTAGGGGACCGCAAATTTGTGCATATCGACTCCCGCTATCTTAAGCCCGTAAAACAGCAAGGCAAAGAGGGCGAAGCATTTGCGGACCTTCAGATTGAGAACACGAACAAACGACTCATCGAATCGCTTCTGAAATCGCACTTCAGGAAGAAGCAGGAAGAATCGGAAGGGACTGAAGTTCTCTCGCAAGATCTCATCCGAGGAAAAGGCCGAGGTATTGTCATCCTCCTGCATGGTGAACCTGGCGTTGGAAAGACCGCCACAGCTGAGGCTGTTGCCCAGAAATACGAGAAGCCGCTGTTTCCCATCACCTGCGGTGACCTTGGGTTTACTCCGGAAGGTGTGGAGAAGTCGTTGAAAGAATTCTTTCGCTTGGCCCATCTTTGGGACTGCATTCTGTTACTCGATGAAGCCGAGGTCTTTATTTCGCAAAGAGATAGGAATGATCTTCAAAGGAATGCGCTGGTATCGGGTAAGCTGTCATCACACTGCAAACAGGAACACTTATACTCACATCATGGTTAGTATTTCTCCGAATGCTCGAGTATTACAACGGCGTGTTGTTCCTCACGACCAATCGAGTCGGGGTTCTTGATGAGGCTATCAAGTCTCGAGTTCACCTCCATCTGCGATATGACCAGCTCAACAGACAACAAACAACGGAAATCTTCAAGCACAACATTAATCGACTCAAGAACATCGAACTTCAACGCCAGGACGCAGCCGATCGCTTATACATCATTGAGAGCGAGATCAACGAATTTGCGCTGACCCATTTCGATGAGACAGCCAAGTCTGGCGTAGGCCGATGGAATGGCAGACAGATTCGAAACGCATTCCTCATCGCTGCTTCGCTAGCGCACCTTGATGGCGAGAATAACCCCGGCATGCAGAAGCAGCTCCGAAAGATGCATTTCGATGATGTCGCCCAAACGACCAAGCTGTACGATAGCTTCAGAATCGCCACCCTGGACGGGGATGACAGTAGTCTCGCTCACGAGCGCAATGACCGATATAACGGTTTTGATCAACGTTCTAGCGTAGCTATACCGAGTAGCCCATATGGACACCCTTCGTATGCACCGCCGCATCGTCCTGGGCCTCCCGGCTACTATGCTGCACCAACCGCTCAGCATGAACGCGCAAACCCTATGGAACCTCCGAGACACATGCCCAAGCCTACCACGCCAGTAGCATATGAGCAACCGCCATCCGATGTAGGATATAGTCGTCAGTACGAAGCTGGTTCAAGATCATCGATGGGAGGAGCAGAGTGGCAGCAAGGACAGTATCCCAACCAGCAATACGGATAGAGGAACAACATCGGCCGATTCTTGTGTAGCAGACGCCTCATTTTGTACCTTTCTTAAATGCCGATATCTTCTTTTACTTTCTGTCTGTCGCTTCTTATCTCATGGCTAGCTTAACTTTCAATATACATGACAGCAATTGCCTTTGTATGACCTGTCATTACCCTATACGTCACGGTTCGCATGTGAAGATCGTGACGAGAAGCGCAAGGGCGTCTCGGGCCTGAGGCGTGGGGACGAGAAAGTCGTCGCCCTGATAATGTAGCGACGGGTGGAAAGACGGGAGAATCTAAAAATTGGCCAAGGCGGGCTCCACACCTGCTACGCGCTGCAGGCTTCGACCCCTTGTCTCCGTCCTACATGTTGTCTACACCCACCACGACGGCTGTTGCTTTGGCCGAATATCATTCAAGGAGAGTAGTTTCTATCCGTCTGTCGAGTTAGCAAATGACACGGAAAGCCCACACTTCAACGCGCGACTGCGGCCAGGGTCTTTCCCCGCATTTGGCTACCGAGGCTTCAACACCATGAAGTTTGGCATCTTGAGACCGCAAAACGATGCGTAGCTTCACAATATCACGAGTGCTAACATTATAGACTCTACTAAACAATATACTTTGATCCGGGTAGCCTCGCATCGCCCCCGACGTCGTAATCGCGACCCCTAACCCCCCAAACACAATGGCACTGGGCGAATACACAAACCTACGCGTCGACCGCCACGACCGCGTCTTCGTCATCACCCTCGCCAAAGCCCCCGAAAACCGCATAAACGTCGCCTTCGCGCAAGAAATTATACGCGCACTCCGCGACATCGAGCGCGAACTAGGCGCCGACACAGAAGGCTGCGTGATAACGCGAGGAAACGACGAGAAGTTCTGGTGCACAGGTCTCGAGCTAGACGAGAGCGACAGAAACCCTTTTGCCAACAGCGATGGTTTCTTCCCACTCCTAGCTACCTTGCTCGACTACCCTTTCCCCACCATCGCGTTATTGACAGGTCACACATTCGGCGGCGCCTGCCCCTTCGCCCTCGCACACGACTACCGCATCATGAACTCCTCGCGCGGCTTCTTCTCTATGCCGCCCGTAAATCTCGGTTTGCATTTCCCTGGTATCGGGTTCCTGCCGCGGCTTAAGCTCCGGCCGCAGGTTGCAAGGAAAATGCTGCTTGAGGCGCATCGCTGGACGGGCAAGGAGGCATATGAGGATGGTATTGTGGATGAGGTTGCGGACCCCGAGGTTATGCTTGAGGCTGCGCTGAAGAAGGCGAGGGGTGTGCAGGGGAGGGCTAGGATGGGTGTTTATAGTGTGTTGAGGAATGAGCTTTGGGGGGAGGCGGCGGAGAAGATTAGGGGGATTTGTTATGTGCATGGGAAGAGGGTTACTGCGCCTGCGAAGGCGAAGATCTAGAATTGTCGGTTTCTCTGACTGATGGTTATCTTTATCAATCTAGGCTGAGTCACTGGTCATGTATTTGGGCTGTCTCCTTGTTGGGTGGTTGGTTCTTTCCACATTTCGCGTGGGCGTGCCTCATTTCGTCATGGATCCGTGCGTCATCCCATAGCGACTTCCTTTCGCTTCATCTCACTCCGCCTTCCTTCCGCCTTATCGCATCCCAAAACACCCCTCGATGTCGTTGTTTTATCTTTCACCTATTCCCTCAGGTATCGCAGACCGGTCGCTCACGTTAACGAAACCGCTGCGACAAACAACGTACGTCTACCGAACGCATGAGGGTCGGTCGCGAGCTATCTTCAGAACCCTACTTGTCGCTGCGGAAACCGGACCGAGAAAATGCGCGTATCAGGCCATCGATGATCTTTGATATCAGTATATACAAGTGTACTTGTGTAATGGTAAATTCTATCTATCTGCCGCTGGCCGTCAAAGGCTAAATGCGCCGTTTCATCTACCAGGCCCTGGCGATCTCCATTCAATCTGGATCAACACGAAGAGGCTCAACATCGCAACGTGCAATTAATTGGGCCAGGTTATTTCAGCCTCAGGAGTAGCTGCTTCTCGTACGTCTCGTACTGTAAAGGACCAATTGGTTACGCCTTATCAACCCTGGGCTGATATGTGGCTCAAGACACAGGAATTGGGGCTCGGGCTACTACTCCTTTGCCCTTTGCCAGGCTTGTGTGGAACACACACCAAGGCAAACCATTATGGAAGTCTGACAGCAATGATATGTGCGGAGCATTTTGCCGCAAGCGGGATGCAGCAGCAATATACCACCAACGTAGAAGCGGATCCAATACTCATCAAAAAGTACCGCCGTTCGTACTGTCGGACATCATAATGCCTTCTAGGAGCTTCGCATGAGCGGATGATGCGTATTGCGTCTCCCAGCATCGGACGAAAGGTGACATGGCGCATATGCATAAGCGCCTCGCGGCTATCCGCACAGTCTCGAGATGCTGGTACAAAAACGAGCGCATCTTATTTCTGGTACAAGCCGCGTTTTCAACAGGATAGAGCTCTCCGCTTCGGTATAACGTCATCATCTAGTAGTCTACGTGTTTCGCCGACGATGAGGATAGGCAGGCTGTTATTGACGCTTGTTGCTGTCAGCCATACGAGTACTTACTCCCATACACACACGAACTTCACTTCACTCGGTTGACGCTATTGCAGCATGCGGCCAAACGACTAAGCGGTACTGCGATTTGGAAACCTCGATTTGCTATTCTGGGTGGACCGGTACGAATGGCGTTACCTTAGGCGTCGCTCTACCCCAGTCGAAAGCTGCGCCGTTCGATACCGTCTTGCAAATTGTGTCGCCTATCAAGAATGGTTGGGTTGGGTTCAGCTGGGGCGGAACGATGCCCTATGTCCCACTGACAGTCGGATGGATGAACAGTGCATCGAACACCTCCATCTACTCATCCAGGATGGCTTTTGGTCTGAGCTTGCCACAACCCTACGCCGATGCCGAATACTCGTACATCAAAGGAACCGGATACAACGCGACTCACTGGACCTTAACCGTACGGTGTAGAGGTTGCTCTCAATGGCATGACGTGGACGGTAATCTGGTTTCCATCGACGCGAATGCATCTGCGCAAAAGTTCGCCTATGGCTTGTCGAGTAGACCACCTGCTGAACCGGCGAACAATAGATCTACCTTCAACGTGCACAATTCCTTTGGAAATTACCGAATTGACCTCACACAAGGTCAGAATGCGGACTTTGACGAGTTGGTTGCTGCGAACCTCATCGATGGTACCCCACCAGCATCAAGCAGCACCCCAGCACCGAGCTCGGCGATCAGCACAATATCGACTACGATGAGCATGGGTACGGTTACTTCGGGATTACCGCAACCAACCCAGACAGGAATACCTGTGTCGTGTCCTGATGTTGCAGAACTTGCATTCCCTGCCAACACAGCGAAAGGATGGAGGGCGACGAAGGTCGCAGGAGGGCTGGTCCAGCCAAGAGGGCTCATATTCGATAAAGCTGGGAAACTTCTTGTCGTACAGAATGGTATGGGTATTACAGCTCACAAAGTTGCGCCAAACGGTTGCCTCACCTCGACCAAGACCGTCATCGCTCAACGGAACCTCAATCACGGCATTGTGCTCAGCCACGATGGGAAGACGCTGTTCGCTAGCTCTGCGACTTCGGTATTCTCATGGTCATATGATGCAGCCACCATGAGTGTATCTGAGAACGCAACGACAGTCTTGACAGGCATGGACAGTAGAGGGCATGTCACCAGGACGCTAGCGATCCCTCCAAAGTACCCAAACCTCCTCCTCGTATCTCATGGCTCGAATGATAACTTCGATTACGGTTCTGCAGATATCGCAACCGGCCGTTCTTGCATCAAAGTATTTGATACAACCGCTATCCCAACAGATGGCTACGACTACCCAAGCAGCGGCTACCAGATGGGCTACGGGCTCCGCAATGAAGTCGGTCTAGCATTCGATGCTGATGGCATGCTTTGGGGCGTCGAGAACTCTTCGGACGAGCTGCATCGCACTATTGACGGGGTATCCGTGGATATCCATACCGATAACCCAGCTGATGAGATCAACTACCTTGGAGATCCATCCAAAGAGAACACAGACTGGTATGGGTACCCAACCTGTTACACCGTTTTCAACCCGGATTCGATTGCAGACAAACCATTCACAATGGGCGATCAGTTTGTTTTAGAACCCAACGCTACCTTCACAGACGATACCTGTAAGACCCGCAGTATACCACCGCGTCTTGCTCTTCCGGCGCACTCCGCACCCCTTGATGCGAGCTTCAACAAGAACTTCACTAGCATGTACATTACCCTACATGGATCTTGGAACCGCAACCCTTCGATTGGATACAAGATCATTGAAGTGCCATTTACCAAGGGCGCGAACGGCTTCGAACCAAAAGCAGCCGTGAATAGTACGCAGGCTTGGGCTGATATATTCTGGAATCCGGATGTGGATTCTTGCTCGACTACGCAATGTTTCAGGCCTGTGAGTATTGTGCAGGATGGCTATGGTAGGATGTATGTGACTAGTGATAGCGGGGCGGAGGGAGAGATGATTATCATTGGAAGAGAGTAGATAGGGAGATGTGTGGGATCAGGGAGACTCTTCGCATTCGCTTAATGTGTCTCTATATTAGACTCGTCCGTCTGCTCCGTCTACCAACCTTTCGGAATCCTCACTAGCTATTTATCTGCCTGCCTCGGTGCTTTGCACACTCGCTATTTGACATCGCGCCTTGTCTTGTGAACATCGAGGTGTTCAGGCGTCGTTCGCTCGAAGATACCGAGGCATCTGGCTTCGGACGTCTTAAGTTCCCGAAAATTGGGTACTTGTAGCGCCGTCCAGCCCTACGAAAGTTTCCGATAAGGCAGTACAACTTTAGCTGGTGATCATGATCTGCGGGGTACATGTGACTCGGTCTCTCAAATCACTCCTCCAAGCATCTCACCAGGCGTAACCTGTCTCGCGCATAGTGGTCCAAAAGGAGTCAACAGAGCGAGTCATGCCTGTCGCACACAAGTCATGTTTCCTTTTGTGGAAAGGTGAGCGGGCTGCCGAAGAAAAAGCAACTAAGGATCTGCCTCGGCAAAAAACTCGGTGACGTATTTACCGCTTCAACAACACTAAGGTTGCGAACGACACCCCCAATCGCACGGCGGTGAAAGGCGGCCGTGATGGACTAGATGATGGACGAAATGTCTAGTGGTGGGGTAGCGTGCGCAACGTGTGGCGTCGCACGATGGGGGTGGAGCCACCTCGGAGGTTGAGGTCTGAGGTGGTTAGGTACAAAGGTCGACATGCACCGGCTCCCCTGGCCATTGCCCACCACTGACTTGCTGTCATAGCTTTTGTATTCGTCGGACGATTCCCATATACTCCGAGTCACGACGCCGATTGAGAGACTACACTTTACCTGCTCTCCCCACCTCCCCACGTCGCGTACCTGCGCCGGCACCCTTTCTCCACCGTAAGCACCGCCAGCAGTCCGCACACCGGCCCGCCATGATCGACTCGTACTTCGACGTGTTAGTAATCGGCAGCGGCCTCAGCGGCATCAACTCGGCCTACCGCATCCAAGAGTCGCTGCCAGACGCCAAATTCGCCGTCCTCGAAGCCCGCCACGAACTCGGAGGAACATGGTCGCAGTTCAAATACCCGGGCGTACGGTCGGATTCCGATCTGCACACTTTGGGCTTCCAGTTCTACCCATGGAGGGCGAAGAACCCGATTGCGAGCGGCGAGAGCATCATGAGCTACTTGCAGGAGACGGCGCATAAGTTTGATCTGGACAAGAAGATTCGGTATAGACACAAGGTTATGAAGGCGGATTGGAGGAGCGAGGAACAGCGGTGGAGACTTGAGGTGGAGGTTGGGAATGATGTTGGGAGAGAGCCACGGACGGTGGTGTACTGGACCAAGTGGCTGATCACTGGTACGGGTTACTACAACTACGACACCCCGCTGAAGGCGAATATCCCTGGTATCGACAACTTCAAGGGCAAGCTTGTTCATCCGCAGTTCTGGCCTGAGGATCTGGATTACAAGGGCAAGAAGATGATTATCGTGGGTAGTGGCGCGACTACTATCACCATGATGCCTGCGATGGTGGATAACGGTGTGGGCAGTGTGACGCAGCTGCAGAGAAGTCCGACGTATATTATGAGTCTGCCACAGAAGGACCAGGTGTGGTTCGAGAAGTGGGCGCCGGAGTGGTTCACCCTCCGCTACAAACGTAAGTCCCCCTTTCTTCCCCTACCAGCCTCAAACTAACACCCCCAGGCTTCATGTTCACCCTCGTTCCAATCCTCCTCTACAAATTCTGCATCTGGTTCCCCACCCTCGCCTCCAACTTCCTCGTCAAGAAAGCCGCCCAACAACTCCCGCCCGACTTCCCCGTCGACCCGCACTTCAAACCCGGCTACAACCCCTGGCAACAACGCATGTGCCTCTGCCCCGACGGCGACTACTTCAAAGCCTTCAGCTCAGGGAAAGCGCACATCGTCACCGACACCATCAAGAGCGTCGTCGCCGACGGCATCGAACTCTCCAGCGGCACCAAACTCGAAGCTGATATTATTGTCACTGCTACGGGTCTCAACATGCGCTTCCTCGGCGGCATCGACGTGCGCGTCGACGGTAAGAAAATCGAAGTCTCAGAGCAATACATGTGGCGCAACGCCATGCTGACCTCCCTCCCCAACCTCGGCAACATCATCGGCTACTGGAACGCTTCTTGGACACTCGGTTCGGACGCCGCCTCCCGCCTTTTCGTCCGCTTGATCAAGCACCAGCAAGAACAGGGCTATACTAGTGTGACGCCTGTGATTGATGAGAAGAGTAGGCAGAAGACGGTTAGTGCTAGTCCGTTGAATAGCACGTATGTCAATGTGGCGATGAAGAAGATGCCGAATTGTGCGGATGCGGGGCCCTGGAAGCCGAGGGATAATTGGTTTGCGGATAATTGGGGGGTTACGAGGGGGAGTATTGAGGAGGGGTTGAGGTGGGAGAGGGTTAGGGTTGAGTAGATGCGTTGGGAGTAGTAGGGAGAGAGGTTTGGAGATGGATGGGGATGTGGGGTTCTAATGAATGATATTTGAGTACGGTATCTTGGTCTGAGATGTTGTTGTGTTGAGAGAGTGGTGTGGTGGTCTGTTGCTGCTAGACGCTTCCATCCCAATGCGGCACTCATCTTTCACTTTCACTTTCACCGCATCCGTGCCATCTTTTCAACTTGCTTATCTCAACGTCCCCCGTCTTGCAAACTCTTTCTCTACACCCGGTCTCCCACCCACATCGCTCCATCGCGACCTCAGCTGTTCACGCGGCGCATTCCTACGATGAATCTTCCTGAGTACTTCATGCTCGCTTCCCATCCAGCGCCCTACTATTCACAGCATGCCGTCGCGTAAGCTACAGAACAGACTTTGGCGATTCGCCGCGACCTGGTTAAGAGATGATGTAGTCTCCGCGCTCGTGTCGCGACGCAGTAACGAACGTCACGGCATGACCATGTCGTCGCCTCTCAGCTCTGAACTGAACGCGTCGCGATCGCTATTACGATGAAGTTGACAGTCCGCGACGTAGTTACTCACCAGCGTAGTCCTCGCGACTATATCGCGACGCGATAACACACATCACGGCACCACCGCGTCGGCTCATGCAGACCGCAACCAGTATTATCGCGCAGCTCTTACGCGACATCGAAGCGACTCCAGCACCGACCTTGACGAATCCAGGGGCTTGATCGACTTCGATGCGTTCCGACAACTCTTCTTTCGGACGTTTTGCGCAATATCATCTCCGCATTCGAAGATGTAGAAGAGATAACATTAGCGACGAACCACTGTACAGAAATATTGTCGGAGCGACTGTTGTATGGTTGCGGTTTGACACCCTCATGGTGTTCGCAGTCTGCGGTCACCGAAACGCAGAACCGTTGCCAACATCCATCGCTCAAGCGGAGAACCTTCAAGAGATATCGCATCGCCCACCCTTCGACCAACTCGACAATAGTTCCTGTCTTACCACTGATATTACCCTTAGGATTTCGTCTCCACATCGCTAATCAATCCCTGGTCCCGGCAAACCTCCAAAACCAAAACCATCTAGCGGCAAACCTCACCACATCTTACCGAAGTGGGGCTTTTTCCCCCTAACTTCCTAACGCGCCTTTCAATCAACCCCGCCGTTGCTGGCGATATAAACGCCGTACTTTGTCCTTCTTCCATCAAAGCAGTTCCTCCAGGAACAGCATAACCGGGCTTGTGGTTTAGTGGTATAATACTCCCTTAGCATGGGAGTGGTCCAGGGTTCGATTCCCTGCAAGTCCATCTTTTTGCGCTCGTCGTCGCTGGGGTAGGGCGCTGCTGCGTGTGTTTTTGGTCATTTTGAGAAGTTTCGGAGGGTCGATTTTGCATTTTGCGGAATCTAGTCCAGGTACATCGGGCGCAATGAGGCGGCAGTGGCAGTGAGATCAAATGTTGTTACACTAACGTTGTTGGTATGGGATATGGAAAGCTAACATTATTACACGAGCATTGTTGGATTGGAGACACGAAGAGTCACTTTGCTGCACGCGGCATGTGTATATCATAGCGGACGACGGGAGTGACTTCTGCAAACTCGTGCGTGAGAGTCATCTATTGATGTCCCGTCATCCCTGGCCGTCTCACTACCCCGGACTCTGTCGTCCATGGTCTGTTTTTCGACACCTTGGGCATGTACAGTACATTCAAGGACCCCATACGAAGACGCAATCAAAGACCTTATACCGAGCGGACCTTCATTCCCGATATCCAACCGCGGCAAGCCTCCATAGAGAGACGTTGTTGTACGAGTACAACATGGTCTTCTCATCACCAAGATCAAGGAAGTCGTCCACCTTTAGCTTCCCATTTCTTAGCAACGCAGCTTCAGGTGTACCTACATCCTGCCCGCTTTTCCTGACTGAAGATGACAGAAGTGCCGTCTTTCTTGCCTAGCTCAACCCGATCACGACCCATATCGAGGTCGAATCCCAACTTCCACGGCTGATTGAGCGCATAGTCAAGGGAAGCGGTGATGGTCATGGTCAAGATACCTGGCGGAGATTCGCTCGGTATGACTCTATAAAGCGTTTAGAGACCGCGGATGCCATAGCCATGGGGGGAGGCTTCAATCACGACAACAAGCTCGGGAACATCCGTGCGGTTGACGACAGTAGAGCTAGAGACACGCCTGCGCGTGATCAGCAGTCCAATAGTCAGTCTTTCAACACTCTAGTCATCCTTCCGTTGCGCTCAGCCACTCAGATCTCCGTTCCTCCACTGAAAGTATCGCGAGAGAAGAAACCACAGTCGCCAGCCCCAGCGTGGAGGCAAAGTGCAATGGTGGCATATCATAGGTTTTATACGTCGATCTGGCATTACGGCTATGATCGTTTGCCTGTGAGTCAATATGCGAGGACCATCTCGCGACTCGGCTGTAGTATAAAAGCTCAACAAACCTCTGCGTCCATGCGTTCTCGTCCACGTTTTGAACCACATCGTAGACCGCAAAGTCGCCATCCAACGCCCAAAGTCAATCACAGTAGAACA